CGGAAGGATGTTTTACAGGAAATGGAGATGCTTGATGCCTTCAGCACTACAATCCACGTTCCAAATATCTGCACAGGAGAGCAACTCATGGAAGCTCTGGAGGTAAGGATTGAAGTAGCCAGATACAGTTGTGGATGAGGACCTGAATAACATATTAAAGCCAACACAATAGTGTCTAAACCCCTCTTTCATGATATGGGAGGTGACAATTAAAACCAAAGTTGTTGTATTTCCTATATTTTAATCAGGTAATTTAAGTTTTTTTCCCCTAAGCATTGGTTGTTTTGGTTTTTTTTTACCCTCTCTTTATATGTTATGAGTTTGGCACTGTTTCTTTTTCATATAATATCTCCATGTACCCCATGATTTTCACACTGGTGCCTTCTCTTCTTTTCTCTACATTTTCTTTGGTCTGTAGTCAATAGAACATTTATAGTTGTCCTCTCCAGACTAGTTTATGATAAGTCTACATGCTCTAGCTCACCTCAACATTAATAACCCATCTTTAGTATATGCCTTTCGTTTGAAATCTCGGTTGTGTTCTTCTGCCATGTCATGTAGGCTTCAGTTCAACCAAGACCTAGACCCACTCTATTTGTGATGTATCTCTTACTCTATACTAATGTATGTCTGTTTATTTAAAAACAAAAAACACTTTTGTGTGAATAAAGATGCAAAAGGGTGCAAAAATATATCTCTGTGTACTCTGTTCCCGCAGCTTCTAGGAAGCTTCAAAGACAATGAAAGAGCCATCATCTCCAAGCAAGTTAAGGGTCGGAAAGTTTCCATTGGAATTAAGAAGCTGCTAATGTTGATTGAGATGTCCATGCAGGTGAGGATTCGACCTGTGGTTCCAGTTATAAACAGTTGTCCATTTTTGGAGAACATTAGTGGAACACTCTATGAATGGAGAATTAAAGTCTCCTAAAACATTGTAGCTTTCTGGAGTGCTTTAGGAGTTAAAGCAGCACTGTCAACCCCACCAACCCCCTTTCTAAAAAATGAGTATTTCAAAGAATCTTTATAAAATACTATTTTTGACTATGTTGGAATTCACTGAAATTCCAACACCGTCAATAGATACACAGAGACAAAAAGGCCACCTGACCACCAGTGGCGATGTCTATGTTGGGTACTTTGCGAATTCTGCAAATTTCCCCCGATGGTGACAGTGCCTCTTTAACTGAAGGTTAGCTTTCGTCTTGTTTTCGAAAAGTCCTTCGTTGCACCATCCCGACTGACAACCAGGCAACGGGAAGGGTTTCATGCACGCCAGTTCAAAGCGCAAGAAAAGCATTTGATTGGCTTGTCGCGCAAACATTGTGAGTCCCCAGTGCTGTGAGAATTTTTGGATTCATCAAGTATTATAATCTCGGCATGATCAATTGGCTGCAGCAAAGAGACAGTATTACCTCTGGTTTTTTGGGGGTTTTTTTTACATTGGAGTATTCCTTCAAAACAGCAGCATAGTCTTTAATATAAAGTGGTGTAAAGAGATAGAAATAAAGTGGTGTGCAAACAACCCTTTATGTTTAGGAAAGCTACTACTGAATAAAAAGTCAATTTCATGTTTTTATATAATCTATTCTTGTTTCATTCACAATGTGAGAAGTTGACCTGTTCTCTTGATTTATCTCTGGATAAAGTATTTATTATGGGTAGTTTTGATGCAGCCCAAAGCTAAACCTGATCTGGAATTTACCTATTGGTGTTATGGGGTCTGCTCCATATATCCGGTACTTTGACATTTCAGCAGAGGAATGGAACTCAAGGTTTCATTAGTGGGAGCATATTTATAGGGTTACGACTGTTTTGACACTGTCCAAAGATGAGGTTTGAAGATAAACCCATGCCCTTCTTCTCTCATCCTTGCTTTTCTTTCATTTTTCTCTAGTCTGGTTGTCTACATTTTCCTTTTATTTATTTTTCTGTTCCAGATCTTGTGTCACTGCCTAGGTATCTCCTAGGACAATAATTTATGGTTCTCCAAAGTAACATACAGTTTTTTGTTTGATTGTTTGTTTTTCAGATGAACCCAGAGTATCGTGTTAGCAAGTTCCTTGCTCTTCTAAAAGAAGAGGCTGGGTAAGTAGCAATTCGAAATGAGGTGAATATGTCCCTACCACTTACTTTGCTGGATGTCCATCTGGTTGGTGGTTTTACATTCCTTAATCGTGGATTTGTGAGCTGACTGTTGGCTATCAGAGTCTTATCTTATTTATGTCTTGGGATGTTATGCTTTTTGATACCTGAACACTTACCCGACACCTTTGAACACTATTCGAAGATATTGTATTGTTAGGAGATAATTGTGAGAACTTCTACCCACTTATATTCCGATCCACTGGCTTTGGCAGCTTTTTATTTATATTTAGAATTTGATGTTGTAGCACACTTTTACAAAATTGCAATGCTTTTTGGGATCAAATGTCAACAAATAGCGCAACCCTTATTATGTTTATGTCTCAGACTATTCTAACCCTTCTTGTAATGCTTTGCAGAAAGTGTTAAAGGGTTACACTGAACCTCTTCTTATTTTTTATACAATACAAGACTGTACTGGGCATTAGTCAATTGGTACCCTCTATAAACTTTTCAATGAAACAGTAAACCTACCTGCAATCCAGTGCTGGGAGAAGCTCACCAAACTGGATTCCATCTCCCATCAGACACCAGCCATAGTTTTTGCACAGAACTGACATAAGTCAGCCAGAGTTCTGGGCAAGTCTGGTGTGCTGGTGATGCAACAATCCTTCTGCACAAAATTACTGCAGACCAGTACAGACTGCTGGACCATAACCACTTCTAGAAACAGCAGTGATCAAGGTGGTTGGAGTAACCTTTTAATGACTGGCCTATGGGGGTAGAATTTTATCAACTGGTGCCAGCTGTCTGCTTCGATATTAGAAATGTATCTGCTCCTCTTCAGGTTTTTTTGGGGTAGAGGTAGATTCTGAAGGGGTAATATGTGCATTTTTAACTTCTGATCCACATTTAGAGGTTGATATGAGAGAAAATGAAAGTGTTGTCCTTGCATGAAAGAAAACAAAACTGCTTACCCACTAATACTATGGATTTTAGACTTCTTTACTCCCCTCTAATTTATAAGATTGAAGTACCCTTATTTACCAGAATTAGTAACTTCTAACCACTTTGCTGTTTTCGTCTTTAGAGATATATCCCACCGAGAGTTTGAATAGATGTACCCCCTGGAGCGGCGCAATGTTGGATTCCGTGTTCACAAGTCACATTCCTCACAAATCCGCTTTGCCAGGAAGTTCGGTTTCTGAAGCCCTTATCCACTGGCTCTCCAAATTTGTGTCACACGGACGTGCATGCCGTTCTACTAAATCTTCACACTCTTTCGAAATCACTTCCCTTTCATGAAATAAAAATGTCTCTCTCTGCTTTACGCAGTCTGAATGCTTCTGGCAAGCTGTGGTCATGTTCCAGTGTTTTGGTAGCAATTGCTGTAAATCAAGCACATCTTCCCAGCTGGACGGTTGTCGCGTTTGGTTGATTTTGCCCCAAATTTGTGAGGAACCAACCTTTAGCGTGCTGGGTTATAGGGTAAATCTGGCCAACTCACTGTCTCCTGGTTCGTTGTAATGTAGCTGTATGAATATTATTTGGAACAAACCTGATCAGACTGGGGGTTCGAATACTTCAGAGTTAAAATTCTACCAACATGTGGCTTTCTAGATGATCAGGAAGTGGAAGTAGTCTACCAGCATTTCACTTTCTAGAAAATCTGAAAGTAAAAGTCATCTAATTCTACATGGGTCTGTAGAAGATCAGGAAGTGAAAGTCATATGCTGGGAAGATTGGCTGTTTATATACCTCTCCCCGTTGCATGTCTTTGTGGGCTTATTATTCTAGGCCGGTATCCTCGGGCAATATGGTGCCACCATGCCTCCTTCCTCAGTTTAATCTGCATCCTCCATGGCTTTTCCTTTCTGGTAATGAGTGATGTGATTCTGTGGTTGCTTTTATTTAATGCCCACTTTCTTCTCCATGGCCCCGTGACGATCATTTTTATTTTTTGAACACATTTCCCACCCTCCGTCCCAAGTTATGTGTATATTTTTATTGTGAATTTTTATGTCGCCCATGCTGTAATGAATATTCTGTGAGTTATCGCAGCTGATGATGGCTGCAATAAAGAAATTATTTATCGGATGTGTGTGGTATTAATTTGATTATTAGATTGGGTTGTGTATAGACCAAACCACGGCATTCCTGTGAGCACAAAACAAAGGGCCATATTCACCACAAGACTAAAGAAGTTAAGTTTTCTTTAATGTTAGGACAGCTCCTGGAATTACAAGAGGCAGCCTGCCTGAGATTGATGCGACGGCAGATGTCCTAAATTTTGCCCCTCTCCCATTACCGACATGCTGGAAGTAAAAGTGTGGTACCCTTCCCCAGGCATATCATTAATGAGACAGGAGCAAATAACAGCAGCTACAAAGGGTATTTACTACCCAGAAGTGAACTCCCACCACTCTTGGGCAGGCCAGTACATGCTATGTCCTAGTACTGAACTGAGTTCAGGGGTCCTGTATTGCATACATTACATTTTCACTATATTTGATCACTTAATAAAATATGGCTACTAATCGTCCATTGTACTAAACCAAATATTAACATTAATACATTAAATATGAACTGTTTATCTGAAAGCTGGACCATTATTTTTGCGACTGTCTGCATTTTACAGTGTTACACCACTGCGGTTTTCAAGTGGAAATCCTCCCGCACTCCCCTCTCCCCCCAAAAATGTTTAGAATAAGATAGTCACAGCTATCAGAATAGAATGGAAATCCAGGAAGAATTAAACATTTAAAGAAGACAAACATTGACAAGGTTTTTTTTTTTTCCAAATATATATTTATATTATAATCTTGGTAAACTTATACAAGAGATATACAGTATAATATATACATTGTGTAATAAATAAAATAAAAAAATCTGAATATAAAATTCTGATGATTTTGCCTATCAAATACAAAGCTTTGGATAGATTATTGGCTATGTCTGGTTTTCTGATCACTGACAAAGTGGATTTTTATTTTCTAAGGGCAAGATTTGGTAAAGTATGTAGACCAATCATATATTCTTCATACTGTTTTAACAACCCAGTAACCCTGCCTTTTAATGAAGTTTATATTTCAAGCTTTTCTACTATTGTTTTTTCTTTCCTCTCTACGTTAATCTGAGATGTGGTAGAAAGTCCATGAAGATAAACATTCATACTAGGTCTTTAAAATGTTCTTGTGCCATTACAAATGCATTTATGATCTTCTCAAACCAGTCATTGCCACAATTATTTTAACGGAACACTAGAGTGCTGAACTACATGTTTCGGTGTCCAGCCCCCCACCCCACTCAGAATTCCATTAAAAAAGTATTTACTTACCTTTTCACCAACGCTGTGGCTGGCCCTCTCTCCATGGCTGAGGTCATCAATCTTGGATCTCATAGGAAAGCATTTGGAGGCTATTGCATGCGTGGCAAAACGCTGTGCTGTGTTGATCAGCATCACCTCACAAAGATGCATTAAATCAATGTATCTCTATGGGGTGGGTTCAGCTTCTCCATGCAGAGCGTGGAGACGCTGAACATAGGACCTGCATAGATTGCAGGACCTAGCCAGGAAGTTCCTCTAGTAGTTGTCTGAGTGACAGTCATTAGAGGTGTTATTAGGCACCAAATGTAAACACTGCTTTTTCTCAGAAAAGGCAGCATTTACATTGTTGTCCCTGCAGTGACAGGCTGTAGACAACAGAACCACTACATTAAGCTGTAGTGGTTCTGGTGACTATAGTATCTATAGTGTCCCTTTAAGAATACTTCTACTGAATGTTGCACATTGTCCTTTTGAAGGTTGGCACCTGAATGTATGCTATGCTCTCAGGCCCTCTACTACCAAATAACTTAAGAGTCATGGAACTAACCAAATATTAGTGAATCACTTTTTTTAAATAGTATCTTGCTGACTGTTTTAACCAATATTACCAGAGAGATCGATGCATTTACAGTTTTCAATTTGCAATATGTTTCCAGTAACAATCAGGCTTAACAAAAAAAGGTGCAGTAGACCTTAAGACTATTTTACAACAGCTAGACCTCATATTGTCTGCAGCACGGAAGACTTCAGAATTGGATCTTCTACGTCCAGTGCTTTTTAACAGCTGGTGGAAACCTGCAGAAAGTAAAATTAGGTGCCCTAAGAGGAAGTCTCTAAAGCAGTACAAAAAGGCTCCTTTATATGTCGAGGCTGTGGAACTTATCAGTGATTTGGGACAGTGGCAAATGACGTGCAATTTTCAATCCTTAGTCAACTGGATATATTTTTTTTAAATGGTATGCGTGATATATTGCCCACATGTACACAACAGGGTTTTCACCTGTTTGTTATTGTTTCCTGTTTTTTTTTCTTTTAGATTCAGGTGAGATTTTTTTATATTACTGCTCTTTAAACCATTTTTTTTTTTTTTTGTTGGAGTACTACTGCTCTGCATGGTACAGTTGGACAATGTTTCACAAAGATAGGAGGACATCTCAACCAACATGGACAGACGGACGTTTTAGCTTTGGTACCTGTGTGTTACTTGCAGGTATGGACATCGTAAATTCGCACACATTCCTGACAGCTCACATAGCAACACCAGTGGAAAACGCAGTGACATTTCTCCTTGCGCTTCTCTGTGCGCGTGTTGTGGCCTCGTCCACAACACAAGAGATCACAGCCATCTATTCCATGCGATGTCACGTTGCAAGAACGTCCTCTGGTTCCGAAAGAGCCAGTTTCCGGGTTTGGTTCACAGAAGTTAGGCGAGTTCTCATAATAGACCAGATCCCTCTCCGTGGGAGGTTTAAATAAGGAGTACTTGGCCCTGAGGGTTTCCACCCAACCACGTGACTCCCGATGTTTCTCCACAGACATCTCTGACGCACTGTCGTACTTATCCTTCAAATGGTCGCCAATGGCTCGGAAGTCTGGTTGCGACCACCAGCAGGTCTTCACCTCACAGCTGCCAGAAAGACCATGGCACTTGCATTTCAAGTGCATGTGGTCTAGGATGGTCTAAGGAAGAAAAACAAGTTTGTTTTTTGGTCAGTGGTAAAAAAGCAATAAAAGTCAAAACCGTATTGCCAAGTATATCTGATATGAATTATCTGTATATACCGTATGTATAAGGAGAAACCTTCTAAATATGGAGCAGTTATTGTGGAAACCAATTGAATGTTTCTTGTTTAGACACATTTAAGACTTTGCACCAGAATTGTGCTTTATAAACTTTCCCCACCTCTCCTAAGGTGAGGTAAGGTGATTTTCGCATTGAGCATTGCAGAAGCGCCTCTAGCAGCTGTCAGGAAGACCGCCACTAGAGGCTGGATTAACCCTGTAATGTAAATATAGCAGTTTCTCTGAAACTGCTATGTTTACAGCTGCAGGGTTAAAACCTGGGGGACCTGGCACCCAGACCACTTCATTGACCTGAAGTGGTCTGGGTGACTTTAGTGGTCGTTTCTTAGTTTTCTTTAAAGACAAAGGATGGTTCCCCTTAAAAATGTGTGTTGTAATAAAACTCTCGTCTATTATGTTCAGTAATTTAGCTGTTTACTATACATAGTCATTTATCATGTCTAAATTTGTTTTATTATTGCATTGTTAGACTATTCTGCTTGTGTTACTGTTTAGTTTTTTGTTTTTTCATGTTTACTCACCGCTCGTCCTGCCTCATTGTTGTGTCTGTTCATGGCTGATCGGGCGTCTGGACGATTCTCTCTTGCATCGGCGAATTCGCGGGAAACCAGGACTCCAAAGTCAGCGTCTTCGCTGCAGCCACCCCACTTCCAGCCGTCACCGGGGGAGCCTTTGTGATGGGAGTCACAACCACATATGGTGGAGCTACCTTCCGCACAGGATCGGGTCACTGCAAATGCCACCCCAGCGGAGGCAATGGCGTGAACGAATGCTGATTCCCGTGTGGCTGTAATAGAAAGCATACAAGTAGCACACATATATTAATATAGAATATACACTAACATAGAATTAAATGTTCCTCAGTACTGGAACAGTTCAAACTTCTGATGGAGAAAGGGTAGAACTCCATGATACGTTGCCAGCATTTATTGGGGAAAAGCAATAAAAAAAATTAAAAATTATTGTGACCATTTATCTGTCCATCCAGATGGTGGAATAAATTGTCACCAGGAGACTGGGCATTCCTCCAGCATTAAACCTATAGTATGTTACAAACATATTTACGAATAGCTAAATGTTCAAAAAGATTTATTTTAATAGGTAATGGCAAGAACAGTGAATCATAGAAAGAAAGGGAATCGGGGTCACACCCGGAACATGCATTTTACAGGAATAGTGCTGCCGTAGAGCCGAAAATTTATACAAAATACGGATTAAGGAACAGCGCACACGGAAATAGTTTTACATTTTACAAGGCTACTTAAAATCACCTATCTCAGCAAACAAATATGGGGGTTCAGTTATAACGTCCGGCCATATCATGTTAAGCACATCACTACTCCACAGTACCCCAATATCGGTGGATCCTACACTAATTTTAACATGGGAAACACAGTACTAGCATTATTTGTCTCCCATGTTAAAATTAGTGTAGGATCCACCGATATTGGGATACGGAGGAGTAGTGGTGGTCTTAAAGGGACACTATAGTCACAGAACAACTACAGCTTAATGTAGTTGTTTTGGTGAGTATAATAGCTCCCTTCAGGCTTTTTTAATGCAAACACTGCCTTTTCAGAGGCTGTGTTTACATTGCCTCTAGGGATACCTCCAAGTGGCCACTCCTTTGATGGCCACTGAAGGTGCTTCCTGGGTCAGTGCTGCTGAAAAAGCAGCCCTGACATTCAGCGTCCCCATGGTCTCAAATGGGGCGGAGCCAGCGCCAGCAGACCCGCACGTCGCTGGAAAAAAGGTGAGTTTTAAACTTTTATATGGGGATAAGCCACTTAAATGGTGGGTTAAACACTATTGGGTCAGGAATAGATGTTTGTGTTCCTGACCCTATAATGTTCATTTAACATGATATGGCTGGGTGGAGTAACTGAACCCCCCATATTTATAAAAAAAAATTATGTGTATATAAATATTATATATATATATATATATATATATATATATATATATATATATATATATATATATATATATAATATGTTTATATATCATATTTATAATGTCATACTAAGTGTATTTTTATATTAATATAAAAATACACTTATTAAATTACACATGTATAATATATATAATTATATATATTGTAAATAAATATTATAAAATACAAATAAGTAATTCAAATTAAATAAAAACATGTAAAAATAATAAAACATTTAAAAAAATCTATATGAAATTTTATTCTAACTGTATTTTGATAGTAATATATTTTTATATCAAAATACACTTAGAATGAAATTGTATATATATCTATGTATATATAAATAATTATATAAATATACACGTAGACTTCAAATATAGAAATATGCATATATATTTAAATTCTACCTGCGTATTTATGCAATATTTTTACATAATTAATTTTAATGATTGCAATTTGAGGGACCTGCCTGCCAACCCAGGCCGAATGTCCAGAGAATTTAATTTGCTAGCATTGTATTTTACCCTGTAACGTTCTACGACACCCTAAAACCTGTACATGGGGGGTACTGTTTTACTCGGGAGACTTCGCTAAACACAAATATTAGTGATTCAAAACAGTAAAACATATCACAGCGATGATATTGTCAGTAAAAGTGACTTATGTTTTGCATTTTTCACACACAAACATCACTTTTATGATATAATTGTTGTGATACGTTTTCCTGTTTTGAAACACTAATATTTGTGTTCAGCAAAGTCTCCTGAGTATAACAGTACCCCCCATGTACAGGTTTTATAGCGTTTTTGAAAGTTACAGGGTCAAATATATGGGTCAAATATTTTTACATTGAAAAATGCCAGGTTGGTTACGTTGCCTTTGAGAGCGTATGGTAACCCAGGAATGAGAATTACCCCCATGATGGCATACCATTTGCAAAAGTAGACAACCCAAGGTATTGCAAGTGGGGTATGTCCAGTCTTTCTTAGTAGTCACAAACACTGGCCAAATATTAGTTTTTTGCTTTTTTTCACACAAAAACAAATATGAACGCTAACTTTGGCCAGTGTTTGTGACTAAGTGGCTATTAAAAAACCCAAAGTATTGCAAATGGGGTATGTCCATTCTTTTTTAGTAGCCACTTAGTCACAAACACTGGCCAACATTAGCGTTCAATTTAGTTTTTTACTTTTTTCACACACAAACAAATATGAACGCTAACTTTGGCCAGTGTTGGGTGGGGTGTTATTCAGAGATTTATGACAGATAATAGTGTTACAATGTCACTATTGATAAATTTTAAAAATGTATGTTTTGAAACCGCAATATCCTACTTGTACCTATAGCCCTATAACATGCAAAAAAAAAAAGCATGTAAACACTGGATATTTTTAAACTCAGGACAAAATTTTGAATCTATTTAGCAGTTTTTTCATTCGCTCTTGTAGATGAGTAAAAGATTTTTCAAGAAATTAGAGGGACAAAGGTTTAAAAATAATATCAGGAAGTATTACTTTACTGAAAGGGTAGTGGATGCATGGAATAGCCTTCCAGCTGAAGTGGTAGAGGTTAACACAGTAAAGGAGTTTAAGCATGCGTGGGATAGGCATAAGGCAATCCTAACTATAAGATAAGACCAGGGACTAATGAAAGTATTTAGAAAATTGGGCAGACTAGATGGGCCGAATGGTTCTTATCTGCCGTCACATTCTATGTTTCTAATAAAAGTCAAATTTTTTTTATTTTTTTCAATTTTTCATCATATTTTTTTTTATTTTTTTTTAAATTAAATTACATGAGATTATATAAATAATGGTTTGTAAAGAAAGCCCTTTTTGTCCTGAAAAAAACCAATTTATAATTTGTATGGGAACAGTAAATGAGAGAGCGGAAAATTACAGCTAAACACAAACACCACAAAAGTGTAAAAAGAGGCCTGGTCGCAAATGTACAACATTGCAAAAACAGTCCAGTCCTTAAAGAGTTAAAGAACAGTGATTCACACATGTATAGACACTTTTATTAAATAAACTGGGATTTTTTTAAGAATTAACAAGGAAATTGCACGTTTTAGACTGAAGCAGATAAATGAGGGAGAAATTTGGCTATTTTTTCATTTTGGCAGTTCTATCCTAAATTTGCAATTCTCTTTCTATTCTCCATTATTTGTATAGAGATATTTTATAAATATAAATTATATTTATAATAATAGAAATAGTATTTACCACATTATGATATTTGCTTTTTGGCTATCACCATCTTGATCTCACTCTAGAAAATAATTTTGCTTCTTTTTAACTTAAAGTTTTACATTTATAGCGTTTTTTGTTTTTTTTCATTTTTTCCCACAATTCATAGCTTTTATTAAATAGCTCCCCAAGAGAGATCATGATTTGAAAACTGATTTTTAGCATCTAAGCCAGAAACTGATACAGTGACTTACTCAAGGAAAGTGCACACAGGGATTCCAAGTAACCATTCACACATCAGAGACAATCACAAACGTCTGCCCTAATCCCGAAGCCTATTAGATTGTAAGCTTTTGGGATAAGAGAAAGACTCATACAAGGGCAGGGTATCAATGTACAGATCTGTGCAGGATAAATTGAAGAGGGGATTAAGCCCCTTATTTAAAGGCTCCCCCCTTCTGCTGCAGACCGGCTAGTTACCTGCTGTGACACTCAATTACCCTTTGTGCGATGGTGTCACAGTGTATTAGTGACATAATGATGGACGTCTCTGGGACCCGTGTGTGACCAAACTGCCATTTCCCTGTCGGTTCGTAGCAACAGCCATCTCTGCGCAGACTGCACACTTTCCCCCTGCTTCAGGAGACCCCTTTCTGTCTGGGGGGGGAGCAGTGAAAGGGCGTGTGAATGGTCCTGGAGTCCCGCTGGGCCCAGAGCCCCTCTCAGCCTCGCAGTGGGGAGGAGGCTTAAACCCTATTCATTGAGCACTAAGCTCATTTCACTTGTTCGTTCTGTAACTGACCCGCCAGCCTCTGTGTGAGAGGCAAAAACTGCATATTCTCATCTATGGGAAACCTGCTCATCCACTGTCTCTGCTCTCTGTATTATTCCTGCTCAAACTCCACGGGCTCCCCCGACCCCTGCAATATCCAACACACTAATGGGTTTATTTAACAAACTCTGCATCGGATTTGAAAAATGCAGGCCAAAATAGCCGATTTGGAAAAATTCTCCAATTGAGCTAAAGTCAAAGATTGATTATTTTAGTCTGAACTTTGTGACTGTCTTCAACTCACTACAGTTCAGTGTTTAGTAAACAAACGCCTAGACTGTCTTATAATTGTAGTGTTTCGCAAAAGCCCGCCCATCCAATCATTCAAATACAGCACAGAGAGTGCTTTGCCCGTTCAAGCATTTGCACTATATTGAGAGGCTACAAAGCAGGGGTTTCTGGGAGTTGTAGTTCACCTATTCCCTTTCTAGAACAGAAAGCTTTGGCTTTAAATCTCTGCTATTCATGGATTCGTGGAATTAACTCATAGAAGGTTGAGGGCGCATCATGATTGGCTGGGTCACTTCCTTGTCCAGGCACTGGTTTACAAATCCATTTTCAGTCTTGGAGTGGCAGAAAGATGAGCAATGCATTAAAGGGACACCCCACTGCCCAAATACAAAAATCACTATTTAGTAAATACACCCCAATGAAAACGTGCATGTATTTAATTATGCATTTTTAATTGGGAGTTTACCTAAACCAGCTTGCAAAAGCCCTTTGCAATCCCTCCCCTTCTAACCCCGCCTAGACTTTCTGTGGCTGTCCAATCACAGACTTCCCAAATGCAGCTCAATGAGAAGTCTTTGCAAGGCAGGCAGGGCCGGCGCTACCTATTAGGCGGACTAAGCAGCCGCCTAGGGTGCCCCTTGGAAAGGGGCGCTGCCAAGAGCGCCGGCCCCCCTCATGCTGCAGACGCCCGAGCGCTCTGCAGAGAGCATCAGGCGGCTGCAGCTTTGCCCTGGCTGGTGCGTCCATGAGGGCGCACCGCCCGGGCGCAGCATGAGGAGAGGGGCTGACAGGAGGGAAGCGCTCAGCGCTCCCTCCTGTCACTCCCTCACACTAGCGTGGCCGAGCTCTGTATGGTCCGCGGGTACAGGGAGCATCTGTCTCCTGTACCCGGCCGGACTAACAGGAAGTGCACACTCAGTGAGCACTTCCTTTTAGTCCGGCTAGGTACAGTAAACAAAAGCTCCCTGTACCCGTGGACCATACAGAGCTCGGCCACGCTACAACAGTGGTGGGGGGAGGGAGATAAGGAAATTGAGGGGAGAGATTGGAGGGAGAAGGACATTGGGGGAAGAGAATGAAATTTTGGGGGAGAGAAGGAAATTGGGGGAGAGGAAATTGGGGGGAGAGAGAAGGGGGGAGGAGGTTGTGGGTGGGGAGAAGAGATTGACATCCATCACACACACAGAAAAACACACAATGCATTACACACACAAGCAATGCAACCCTTACACACAATGCATCCCTTACACACAGAAACACACAATGCATTCATTACACACACGCTCACTGCACCCCTTACACACACTCAATGCATCCCTACATGCACAGAAACACACCTTGCAGCCCTTACACATACAAACACAGATTCACACAATGCATTCCTTACACACATATCAGGACATCCCCTACACACTCCACCCCCTGTGAACAAACTCATTGGTGGAACATGAAGGTGGACCCTGGGACCCAGACCTTGAGCTGTGTAAAGGGCCCCCAAAAAATGGAGCTGCTTCCCGTTCTCCCAGAACATTGATTTTTGTGACCACAGTTACAAACCGCCTCCAGAGAGCCTGTTCTACACCAGACCAGTGGAGCCAGACTGCAGCTAGAGCCCATCATCATCCTCATCTGGTTGTAAGTAGGCAATCTAGTATATTATTCGTGGCACTAATCTCTAATTTACCTCACATTAAAGAAACACTATAGTCCCCAGAACCACTGCAGCTTAATGTAGTGGTTCTGGTGTCTATAGCCTGTCCCTGCAGGCCTTTTAATGTAAACACGGCGGCACTGCAGCACTGGCGTTAGTTAACATGGCAGATCATATGGGTGGGGCATTGTGATGTCACATGGGGGGGTGGGCGGCAAACTTTACTTTTGCCTAGGGCAGCAAAAATCCTTGCACCGGCCCTGAAGGCAGGTGTGCTGAAAAATTGCTGCCTCTTGAGTTTAGCTTCACTGAGCTAAAACAAATACAAGACGTAACAGGACCGGGTGTCTAATTAACAGCCAGTTGGGGTGCCACAAGGATAATTTATAAAAGTGCCAATTTCTGTTGAAATCTGTACTTTTTTGTAAAATGAAAAAGTAAGGACATACTCTCTCTGGCAACACCTCCTAGATGTCAAACTGGTGTTCGGGAAGATTTTCTATCTCACTCCTTTGAACCGTGAGTGCTGAAATCAAGGTATTACTCACGTTTAAAGGGACACTCCAGGCACCCAGACCACTTATGCCCATTGGAGTGGTCTGGGTGCCAACTCCCACTACCCTTAACCCTGCAAGTGTAATTATTGCAGTTTTTATAAACTGCAATATTTATCTTGCAGGGTTAAGTCCTCCTCTAGTGGCTGTCTACTAGACAGCCACTAGAGGGCACTTCCGGGTTCATAGAACACGAAAAGTGTTTTAAAACGGCAATGGAGGTCCTCACGCTATGTGAGGACCTCCAACGTCGCCGAAAGCATTATTCAACGCTTACCTATGGGGAGGTCTAATGCGCTGACATCGGCGGGGGAGGAGCGTAGGAGGAGCCTGATCCAGCGCCGATGTTTTAACCCCTTCAGCAACTTGGGATGGGGCGTGGGAGGGAGAGGGGACCTGCAGTGCCAGGAAAATGGTTTGTTTTCCTGGCACTGGAGTGTCCCTTTAACCCTTTTGGTACCAAAATGTGGGTGGTGGGGGGGAGAAGGGAGCAGTTGTCTAAAGAGTTTAATGAACATTCCAATAAAAAATAAAATTAAAAAAAATTATAAATATGGCGTAAAATTTGAAGTTCTATGCTTCTAGTCAGGCCTTAAAAGTTACTCACTTCTGCAGGACACAATATGGTCATCAGTGGTTTATTCTCTAAAGTAAGAATTCAAATTGAATTTCAAACATTTGACAACAACCACTACAGGCAGTCTTAAGTGATTATCTGTCCCTTTAAGTGATTATCTGTCCCTTTAAGGCCAGAGCAGCCCAATTTAACTTAGATAATTTTTCCAGTTCGGCTATTTTGATTTTAAATTTTAAATTCACTTTGAATTCTCACCTTAGTGAATAACCATGTCAGTGTTTAGATAAATTACTTTCATTTGAATAAGAGTATGTCTTAAGAGGTTGTAAGTACATGCGCACAGTTACTTTCAGTGCAGGAACTCTCATGAGCTTTATTCCCAACCTGGAACGTTACCTTTATCCAGGACTGGTCCAAAGATAGCCAGGCTGTCATGGATCGTAGTACAGTTCCATCTTCTGCCTCGGAATTGGTGTTGGCATTCCTGAATTCCTAGCTTCACCCCTTCTGCCACACTGGGCATTATCTCAATGTAGTTTCGGCAGAATCGCATTTGTTTCGGTACCAGTCCAGGGATAGACCCGCAGAGGATGGGCTGTGAGCCCAGGGTGCTGTACTGTTGTCCAAGAGCCAAAGACCTAAGGGGAAACATCAATATGGCGTCATTAACATTTTTAAACGACAGCTTAAAGGGACACTATAGTCACCAGAACAACTATAGCTTGATGTAGTTCTGGTGAGTATAATCATTGCCTTCAGGCATTTTCATGTAAACACTGCCTTTTCAGAGAAAAGGCAGTATTTGCATAGTCCCTACCCCTGTCCCACCTCCTTGCCGATTTCAGCCAATCCAATGTTTTCCCTATGGGAAATCATTTAATGCTAATGATGTCAGCAAGGAGGCGGATCAGGGCCGGGACAAATGCCAGCAGACCAGCGCGGCACTGGAAATAAGGTAAGTGTTCCTACCTTTTAAGGGGGATAAGGGAGTGCAAGCCACCTAAATAGTGGTTTTAACACAATAGGGTCAGGAATACAGGTTTGCTCCCTCCTACCAGTCACTCAATGTAGCGTGGCCGAGCAGAGTGGACCACGGTACAGGAGCTTCTGTTTCCTGTACCTAGCTGGACTGACAGGAAGTACTCACTGAGAGAGCACTTCATGTCAGCCCGGCCGAGTACAGGAATCAGAAGCTCCTGTACCGTGGTCCACTCTGCTCGGCCACGCTACAAGAAGGGTAATGAGGCATGCAAGGGAGGGAGGGGAGCGGACCACTAAGGAGGGTGGGTGATACACTAAGAGACAGGGAAGGGAAGGGAAAAGGAACACTGAGAGGGAGGAGGGGGGGCCACTAAAAGAGAGGGAGGGGAGAGGAACACTAAGGGGCATGGAGGGGCAGGGAGAGAAACACTAAGGGACAGGGAAGAGGACCATTAGGGGAGGGACGACACTAAGGGATAGGTAAGAGGATCACTTAGAGGGGTGGGGGAGAGGAACACTAAGGGGACCTGGAAGAGAGGGGAGAGGAACACTAAGGGACACAGAGGAGAGGGGAGAGGAACACTAAGGGACAGGGAGGAGAGGGGAGAGGAACACTAAGGGACAGGGAGGAGAGGGGAGAGGAACACTAAGGGACACAGAGGAGAGGGGAGAGGACCAGTAAGGGACAGGGAGGAGAGGGGAGGGGGAAGGAACACTAAGGGACATGGAGGGGAAGAGAGAGAAACACTAAGGGGACAGGAAAGAGGACCATTAGGGGAGGAGGGAGGAGAGGAACACTGAGGGACAGAGAAGAGGATCACTAAGGGACAGGAATGGGAGGGGAGAGGAACACTAATGGACAGGCAGGGGTGGGGAGAGGACCACTAAGGGACAGGCAGGGGAGGGGAGAGCACCACTAAGGGACATGGAGGGGAGATGATTACTAAGGGACAGGGAAGAGAGGGGAAAGGACCACTAAGGGACAGGAAGGGGACCACTAAGAAACAGGAAGGGGAGAGCACCACTAAGGGACATGGAGGCGAGAGTGGCACACAGGGGGCCTGAGTGGGGAGATAGAAACACAGCTATACCTTTCTAAACACTGTAAAGAGAGATCTAGTCTTGAAACTTCCTTTATTGAAAATTCTGTTTAATTTATAATTTCTTATCTCCTGCACTGCTAATAGCTTGCTAGACTCTGCAGGAGCCTCATGTATGTAATTAAAGTTCAATTTACAGAGCAGGAGATAAACACTTCTAAAGCAAGTTAATAACTGATTGAAAATGGGGGGGGAGTAATGCTGCATGCAGGCTGTATGAGTCACAGTCAGTCTAGGTCTGACTTAGGCTGCATAAACAGAAACAAAATTATTTCATTCCTAAATGGCAGAGAATTGAGTAGTGAGACTGCAGGGGGGTGATCTGCACATCAAAACAGCTTCATTAAACTAAAGTTGTTTTGCTGCCTAAAGTGTTCATTTAATCTTGCTCTGGATGCCCCTGGGATTTTAAATTTTTTTGGGTACGGGGGCAATCAAAGGTTCCCACTAGTCACACAGTGATCTTATGTAGACCCCTGTCTCTATATTTATTGTAATTAGTGAGTGGTTTGCTTGCCAATAGCTGTCCATGTCCTTTAAAAGTTTTAATTACTTTTTACTTTGATGTCGATCTGTTACTTCGTAGTTAGCACACAACAAAACCAAATTAGACATTAAAAAACCTTTTTTTTTTTTTATTTCAAACTGTGTACTATTATCTTACTATACACAAATCAATTTATTCTGTGAGTAGAGGTATTGCAATAAAAAAAATAAAAATAAAAATTGGTGTGATGACAAAATACATACATACTTGTATAGTTATATGGGTGGACGTAACAACCACCCCTCGACAGTTTTGCCGATTTTGATATGTCAACCTTCTTTTTTCATATCTGCATGATAACTTACACCTGTATCTCACTGACAGCCGCTAGAGGCGCTTGCGTGATTCTCACTGTAAAAATCACAGTGAGAGCACGCAAGCGTCCATAGGAAAGCATTGTAAATGCTTTCCTATGAGACCGGCTGAATGCGCGCGCAGCTCTTGCCGCGCATGCGCATTCAGCCGAAGAGGAGGAGAGCTCCCCGCCCGGCGCTGGAAAAAGGTAAGTTTTAACCCCTTACCTCTCCCCAGAGCCAGGCGGGAGGAGGACCCTGAGGGTGGGGGCTCCCTCAGGGCACTATATTGCCAGGAAAACGAGTATGTTTTCCTGGCACTATAGTGGTCCTTTAAGGGACCTGTCACTATGCACCCTAGACCACTTCAATGAGCTGAAGTGGTCTGGGTGCCTATAGTGTCCCTTTAACCCCTTAAGGACACATGACATGTGTGACATGTCATGATTCCCTTTTATTCCAGTTTGGTCCTTAAGGGGTTAAAAAAAGAGATAAAAAAAAACAAAAAACAATGCTTATATACAAAATTATATTTTTGTTTGTTTGGAGAATGAGCAATTGTGAACAAAGTTTCTTGTGAAAAGGGTTTCCCAAACTTGAGTGTGAAAAATAAGTCAGTGGGATAAGTGTAGGAAAGCAGGGTAAAAGGGCTGCTGGGGGGGAGTTTTTAAAGGAGAAAGCTGCATGAGAGAGCGGTAGAAATAGGATTATGAAAGAAAGTGGTTAATAGTAGGAGATATGGGAATATATGACCAGAAATGGTCTTTTCAAGGGAATTCCAAAATATCTTCTTCGCCGATCGCCATGTTATAGTCCCACGTTACCAGTGAATGTGAGAGCTGAGAGCTTGATGGTTATAAATTGGGTTTAATTGGGGTATAATGCTCATCAGCGCTGTGTTATAGTAGCCGTGATCTCCCCTTCTGTCCCTCCAGATGTTTCTGTTGTGTGTGAACATATCGGCCCTCTTTTTCTAAAGATTTATTACTTTTCTGTCTTTACCAATTTAAACAGAAACCTCACTTTTTAATTTCCCAGCTGGTTATATGGGGTTACATGGTTTTCAGAGGGAAAAAAAACATCCAAACATCCAGCACTCTTACACTACCTTCCCAAATATCCAGCGCTCTTACACTGCCTACCCAAACATCCAGTGTTCTTACACTACCTTCCCAAACATCCAGCGCTCTTACACTGCCTACCCAAACATCCAGTGTTCTTACACTACCTTCCCAAACATCCAGCGCTCTTACACTGCCTCCCCAAACATCCAGTGCTCTTACACTGCCTCTCCAAACATCCAGCGCTCTTACACTGCCTACCCAAACATCCAGCACTCTTACACTGCCTCCCCAAACATCCAGCTCTCTTACACTGCCTCCCCAAACATCCAGCGCTCTTACACTGCCTCCCCAAACATCCAGCGCTCTTACACTTCCTCTCCAAACATCCAGCGCTCTTACACTGCCTCCCCAAACATCCAGCACTCTTACACTGCCTCCCCAAACATCCAGCGCTCTTACACTTCCTCTCCAAACATCCAGCGCTCTTACACTACCTTCCCAAATATCCAGCACTCTTACACTGCCTCCCCAAACACACAGCGTGCTTATACTGCCAAACCAAATATCCAGCTCTCATACACAAAATACCCAACATCCAGCGCTGTTACACTGCTACCTCCAAAATACAGAACTGAATGGCCAGTACTCTTAAATGACTACTTACAGTCCCAATATTACCCATCACCTCCAAATCTTAGCATTGCTACACTTCTTCCACTGCCTGCACAATCACCTAGCACTCTTACAATTTCACCTCACCCACTGCCCTCACCCTGCTCTCCTCAATGCCCTCACACTGCCTCCTCCAGTGCCCTCACCCTGCTCTCCTCAATGCCCTCACACTGCCTCCTCCAGTGCCCTCACCCTACTATCCTCAATGCTCTCACACTGCCTCCTCCAGTGCCCTCACCCTGCTCTCCTCAATGCTCTCACACTGCCTCCTCCAGTGCCCTCACCCTGCTCTCCTTAATGCTCTCACACTGCTCTCCTCAATGCTCTCACACTGCCTCCTCCAGTGCCCTCACCCTGCTCTCCTCAATGCCCTCACACTGCCTCCTCCAGTGCCCTCACCCTACTATCCCAATGCTCTCACACTGCCTCCTCCAGTGCCCTCACCCTGCTCTCCTCAATGCTCTCACACTGCCTCCTCCAGTGCCCTCACCCTGCTCTCCTCAATGCTCTCACACTGCCTCCTCCAGTGCCCTCACCCTGCTCTCCTCAATGCCCTCGCACTGCCTCCTCCAGTGCCCTCACCCTGCTCTCCTCAATGCTCTCACACGGCCTCCTCCAGTGCCCTCACCCTGCTATCCTCAATGCCCTCACACTGCCTCCTCCAGTGCCCTCACCCTGCTCTTTGCCTCATCCAATGCTCTCACACTAGTGATTCTACTACCCAACGATCTTCCATTGCAAATTCCAACGCTCAGTGCTAACACTTCCCTCCGTCCTCACCTTGCCACCTCCTCTTACAGTGTCGTCTTCAACACCAAACAAACATTTTAAGATATTATATCCTTCACATCCCAATTATTGACCTTACTCTGCTTCCAAACCATGAAACTCTGCTTCTAACGTCTTTACCGGCTCTCATCACAAAAATGTCAACCTTGTTTTTCTCTTAAATCAACCAGCAAAATAGTCATACACCAAGAATAAAACCGTCCTTCACACCATCACACTGCTCCCTACACACAATAACTAGACATATCATACATGTCCTACACCAGTCCCACCAGAAAAAAAGGCTAAAAGCTCGACCTAGTGGGAAAATGTGCACTATGCCTCTGGCCTTCTGTATCGAGCCATTGACACTTGTATTCCATCCCTAGAGGCGCGCTAGAGGTCAATCAGGCACTGTACAAGCTTCAGTGAGTAATGGGCATTCAGACTGTGTAATAGACAACATCAAGTCATGAAATACAAGACGTTATTAGAAGTGAAATCCAAATTTAGGCAAAAATAGGAGATAGTAGAACGTTTTCAACTAAGCTACGGTTACAAGTTAGCTATTAGGTTTGAAAGTCGGACTCTAGTTTTCAACAATTCATAGTTTAGTGAATAATTGTGTTTTTACTTGTAGGGCAGCGTTGCAGGGAGAGCAACAGAAAACAAAAACCAAAAAAATTGATCCGGACAATTCTCAGGACCTACGTAAACGTGGCTCCCAAGTTCATACTGCTGGCAACCAACAAATACATTTTCATTCTTCTGGTGGGGTTTTTTTTCCACCCACGCTCCTACAAATATCCAGCAGTAGATTAACCCTTTCCACTCCTGGAATTTTCATCCCAAATCCAGACACACTCCATGAATTCTCCCATCCTGATCCTCGAGAAGATCTCATTACAAACAGCTTATGAGTAGACCCCCAGATCTTTGGTGTATCCCACCCAGACAGAGCTTGGCCAGACAATACTGCTCATCCCATAGCTTAATCCTCGCACAATAAAAAGGATTAAACTGCCCCGGAAATTACCTACTGGTCATCCATCCCAGGTCAACCAGCTCTGGTACCAAGGTAACCCAACAGGGCGTTCCAATATCTTTAAGGCAGACGCAGAAGGTTGCATGGGCATTGTATATATGGGTACATTTTTTATAGTGAAGTCAAGGCAAAAACAGGTGCTTTTCTGGGGCAAAGGGCTAAATCAAGAGCAATCACCATAGAAACCAATATGATGTCTCGACATTTAGCAAATTGCACCCAGAAAATTTGTTTTGGTTTGATAAATCTCAACCTATTTCTCTGTTAATCAAATCTGTTTTGATGATGAGCCAAACTCCATATTTGTGTTGGCAAAACACATTATTAAGGGAAGGGGTTATAGGATTATTTTCAGTCTCTGTAAGACTGTTTCTGACTGTCTATAACTTTATCCATCCATCCATCCATTGATTTTTTTTATAGTGCATAAACACAGTAGGATGCTAAGATAGTCAAGACACTTTATTGAATAACCCATGTCAATCACAGCATTCCAATACATTGCGCACCCCTCTAACATTCCATAATAAAAGACACAGTGAATTATTATACAGGCTACCCCATATGAAGGAACCGCAAAATACTCATGTGTATAATAAATGCTGGGCTTTCTAGAGGAGCTTAATCTGACCTTTACTTCCTGGCAGTATTCCAGAGAGATTATTAGAAAATCTTTTATCACTTAAAATATTGCTTTAACACTGATATTTAAAGTAATGAAATCATTAGAATTGTGAAATGTCAGGCTAATTTGCTTTATTCGTTCTTCAAGATTAGATAACCTTATGGTACCCCTTACTACCTCCACTGGAAGGCTGTTCCTGGTATCTACTACCCTTTCATAATCACTGTTAGCCCTTACTGCCTCCAATGGAAAGCTATTCAAGGTAGCTACTACTCATTCTATATAACCTTTAGCCCTTGCTTCTTCCACTGGAAGGCTATTCCAGGTATTTACTACAATATATATATATATTGGTTAGCCTTTTACTACTTCCACTGTCCAGCTACCTACTACCCTTTCTATATCTCTATTTGCCCTTATGGCTTCCATTGGACGGCTATTCCAAATAACTGCAACTTTTTTTATAACTCTATTAACCTTTATGACTTCCACTGGAAGCCTGTCTAGCTACTTACTACTCTTTCTATAACTATTAACCTTTATGGCTTCTACTGGAAGGCTATTCCAGGTATCTACTACCGTTTCTATATTCTATAAGCCTTTATGACTTCCACTGGAAGGCTGTTGCAGGCGTCTACTATTTTTACTATATCACTATTAGCCAATACTCCACTGGAAGGTTGTTCCAGGCACGTACTACCTTTTCTATGTAAATAACCACTTGCTACATTCATTGTTATCCTTCAATTATACACGCTGCTATTTCAACCCATACCCACTTCTTCATTCAATGATAGTCCATACATTTAGTTTCAGGCTGGTTTTGGTAAGAAATACATTTACAATCTAAATGAAAAAACGATCTTACAATATTATATACAAACCACAAAATGTACAATATTGCATATTATAATTTCAAATATATTTTGAGTCTGATAAGACAATATTTTACACACAAAATTGCCTTCGGTTATATTTGGCTGTATTTTAGCAATCTAACTTTTTATTTAATAAATATATACGCTTATAAACAAGTTTAATTTTGATATTTTTCAAAGACCTGTTGCGATCATTTACTAAATCAGATAAATTTAGGAAATGAGGCATTTAATAAAATCTCTAATCTTTTTTTTTTCTTTTCCACATTCAAAACGTTGTTCAAAGTATTTCATAAACACATAATATATATATATATATATACGTAATATAAAATGTTTGTTTACAAACTGAAAGCATTTTCTGACAACAAATAAAAGCAAGATATTAAAGGGATTAAAATGTGCTACTGAAAAGGCTTAAAAAACCTGAAAACCTGATTTAGGATAAAAAACACAATTAAATAATGTTACGTAGAGAATAGCCTGAAGCTTTCTTTTGGGAAGAGTAGAATTAACCGAGATTTAAATTAAAAGAAATTTAATCATCTCAAAAAGTTATACATGTGTATACATTTTATATTTTTTCACCTCTTACAATAACTAACTAAACTTAACTGTAACAAGTTAAATGATAATGGTGCAATAGTACACTAGTCTATGGATTTTTTTAACTTCAAATATTATAGCGATAGATAATATTTAACCCATTAAAGTATGATCCAAAGTAAAATGAATTCCCTACAACAATTTTTCAAAACACTGACTATTCTTTCACCAAACTTTGAATTGTAACACAGTGAAATTCAAACAGAAAAATTGAGGCTAAACTAGTCACTATAGGGAATTTGAAGAATTTTTACAAATGAGCTATTTTGGCCTACGTTTTGCCATTTAAATTTAAATTCACAAAAATTTGGAGTTTAGTGAATGTTCCTGTCAGTTGGATCTCTCTACAGGACACTAATCAAAAGAGGTCTAAAGTAGAGCATTAATTAAAAAAGTGATCGAGATAAACTCAGAGCTAAAAGCTAAATGTAAAAGAATCACATGCAATTTGATGTTGTGCAGATAGGATGGAGAACTGTCGATTAAGTAGGAGAACCCCTGTAGAAAGGAATAAAGAGGGGGACAATTTATTTTAGGCTCTTCTTCTGGAGGGTAAGATATGGAAAGTAGGGGTGAGGGAAATAAGGAGATAGGTACGTATCTCTTACCACCAAATGGGGTAACCAGCCAAGACAGGGGCAGCAGAGAAGAACCAAAGGAATCGCAAAACACGGAGTCTGTCCATGGGGGCAAGAGGGGTATCTTTTGAGTGCTGCAGGTGTTGGGGGAATGAGGAGACCTTGTCGGGGATTTGAAGAGCATCCCATGAGAAACTATCCTTTTGCTAGATTTCTAATTTTGTGGGCAGGGGTTATTGAGGCATTATATAGCCTGCCTTCTGATCATGGACAGAGTAGGGAATCTGGATGCCATGAGTCAACCAATCCCTGAGCCGTAGGATAAGGTATGAAAGTCCTCCTCTCTTGGAGCTGTCAATCAAACCACCCCCTGACACTCTTTCTTAAGACATCTTCCCACACAGCCTCTGTCTCTCTGCATCCCTCCCTCATTCTCATCTTCTTATTGCTGTTACGCTACCCACATTAATCGTTTCATCCTCTTTATTTAAATATATAGATACGTGAATTATGTACAGTTCATATTGTTATATATATATATTTCGTATGGAATATATTGTTTTATATAATTAATATCAATATTAAAACGATATTGCACAATGTATGGCTTTGTACTGGCGTATTTTACTTGCTCTTGTGAGATTCCAAATAGAATATATTTGATTATTAAGGAACAATAGTGTCCTGATACTCCGGTACAAAGCGATTTGTGGATGTATCAGTGTGACGGTCTATATCTATGTCTTTCTGGAGTCTCACGTTGTTATACACTAAAGTGAGAATTGTCAGGGATTAAAAGTACATTCCAAATTCAAACCCAAAGTAGCCAAATTATAAGTATAGCCAACTTGGAGAAATGTTTACATTTTGTAAATTTTGGCCTTAAATATTCTACTACTCAGAGCTGTTGTAACTATCTATAACTGGGGGTTTTCCTGACGTTTTCCTGTAGGTCAGAAACCATCACCTATATCATAGATGACATTAGATTAAGTTAGATAATTGCTGTGAGCAAAATCCACTCTTTTTTCAAGCAAATGTCATGGAGAATATGTGCAGAAACCGATTTCTCATAGTTAAGGCACAGATATTTTATGGACTTTGCACGGAATGAAGGAAACGGCGTACCAAACTTGTTTTCCTGGCACTATAGTTCCCTATAGTGCCCCCCTCCGTCCCCGTGGTGCAGTATGGGTTAAAAAAAAAAAAAACCTTCTGTGACTTACCTTGGTCCAGCGCCGATGACCCTCGGCACTTCATCGGGTCCACCTCCACTCCTGACGTCGGCGTGGTGGTGACCTAATGCGCATGCGCGACAATTGCTGCCTATGGACTTCCCCATAGGAAAGCATTATACAATGCTTTACTATGGAGATTTCGGTGACGCTAGATGTCCTTATGCATAGCGTGAGGATGTCCAGTTTGCCTACCAAAAGTCGCCTAATGACATGGAAGCCCCTCTTGTGGCTGTCTGGTACATAGCTACCAGAGGTAGAGTAACCCCACAAAGCTAATTATTGCCGTTTCTTAAAATCTGCAATAATTACCTTTCCAGGGACCTGGGAATATGCATCCAGATGCATCCTGGGTGCCTATAGTGTCCCTTTAACTTGTTCAATACCTTTCTGGCTGTAAAAGGGGTAGGACAGGAGGAGGGAGTGGATTTTCTCTTGGCTAATTAGCTCCTTCATTGGCAGTGATTACAAGGGGGTATGACCATTTGTTTTCCCAACGTACCCTGATACAGTATAGCCATGATGATGTTAGGGAACAGCCAATAAATGTTTTTGTTACCTAAACTTGACCAATCAAGTCGCTCATTAGGGAGTTGGGAGGGTGTAAATTAAAACTGAAGGCGGGGAATGTTTCTAACACATCGACTAGAGCTTTGAAGGGGCAGCCTTGACATTGTGTGACTCTGTGCTTTCTGAACTGTAGTGATTCCGTATTCCATACCGTGATTCTAGCAGTGTTCCCGGGAGAGACAGAGGCAGACAGTTGCTGTGCAGTGGGCAGAGTGTCAGTTCTTGATGCGCAGTGTTTCTTTCTGCGCTGTACACACATCAGAAGGATTTGTTATTCTTTAGATTGCAAATACATTCTGATTGATTATTTTAATAAGGCATTTAAGGGGCATGAGGTGGATGCCCCTTAGTCTAGGTTAGGTTTAGCTTTGTACCCTCTGCCTTTGCAGCCGGTAAATATTGAGGGCGATGATGCTCACCAGAAGACGGGTGCTGGTTACTCTCTGAAGATCTGGAATGGCATCGTGTGGGGAGAGAATCAGGTGAGTCACCAAACACCCACTCATTCACCAATAGATTGGCCAACAGCCAATGCCGTAGCCCAACAGCCACATGGCACTGAGGTGGCAAACTTGTTAACTATAAGTGGTTGGCTAATGCCATTAGTTTATAGTGAGTCAGAGGCCAGTGTGACTGTCTCTGCCATATGTGCGTGTTCCTGTCTGTATGTTCACACCTTTGTCTGTGTCTGACTGTCTGTATCTGTATGTGTTTCTACCCGTAGTTTCATGTCTGTGTTGGACTGTATCCGTATGTTTCTGTGTGCCTAGTGCACATCTGGTATTTCTGTGTGTTACTGTGTGTATTTGTTACTATGTTTTTGTGACCCTATGTTTTTGTGAGTGCCTACAAGTATTTGTGCAGCTGTTTGGCTATGACTGTGTGTTTCGCTGTCTCTGTCTGTTTGAATTCCTCCCAGCACTGGAGATTATGAGCAAGGTACAGGAAGAGGTAGCAGGTGATGCAACCGGGGAGCCCTTATATGCGACTCACACCAGGCGTTACAACTGTCCCAATTTTGGTGGGACAACTGTATTTTATAGTCCTCATGTCCCGACGCCCTAACCATGTTTGCGCTTTTGACGAAATCAGGGAACTGTCCCCAGAAACTGTAGTGGAAGCGCATCTAATGACCTCATCCGGACCATAAAGTGGGCACTGAAACCGTAGTCCCTGAATGGTCTGCCTACATGATTGGCAGTTAGCCTGGCATGCATTTCCATGAGGCTAATCTGTCTCTTCTTTGGACCCATCCGCCCCCTTTCATTAAGCATTCAAAATTCTGAGTTTGGACAGTGGAGAAAAACTCATGATGTTGGGATAGGGGTCTGAAATATGGGCAGTATCACAAAATCTTGAAGAATTGGGAAAGGAATATTGACTCGGGGATGGATGTGAGAATCTTACTTTATTTTTGTATATATTAAACCATCTGTGACATATTACTAATCCTCAGACAACACAAAAAGAAAGTGGTCTGATTCCTATTCTCCTCCATAGCACCACAATTCTGGAATAACTTTGCGGACAACCATCTACCATTCTAAAATCCTTTAAGAGTTCTCTGTCACTATACCTCTATAAAGAACGCTCCTGTGAACAATTGTACCATATTGAAAACAAGATAAATCTCAATGTATTCTTCCTGATAAAATAATTTATAAATAAATAAACCTGGGAATAATGCAATGCCTGCGAATATGTAAATACCAATAACTAGACAACAGTGGTTCTGGTGGTTTGAGAAAGCCGAGGTCCAGACTTGCAAGCGACAAGGCAAAGATTTATTGGTACCCTGGAAACCCATTAATTATAGTAGAAAGTAGAAACCACGAAATGACACCACATTCCTAATGACATTAGTATATAAAGGCCAAGGACAGGTGTGCTTACATTTTCGTACAGGGTGGACAAAAGAATATAATTAAAGGGCTACTCTAACTCTTTGCCACAATTCGCCATTTTAGACTTACAGTGCTCTATTGGGCATTGCTAATAGGTACTCCCCCTTGAAATAGAGAAGCTGATTAGGAGGACGTTTCACCAGCTCAGAGTGCAATTGTGCGCTCTGAACTGGTTTAGGGTGGTGGTGAAGAGTGAGGTGGAAGGAAATCTTAATTTTTAAAAAAAGCGATCTTCCCCCCTGCTGTGATCACGGCGATAGACATAAAATATGCCCAGAATTTATGTTATGCAGTCCGGAACTGGGATTTCTGGGCCGCCAAAAGTCACGTGTGATGGGGTGTAACTAGCCCAGTGGCACACAATTGCAAAAATCTCTAAATGTGTAGTGTTTCAAGCAGAAACACTGCACTTCCAGGCTCCTACCACCATGACCACTTCGAATCACTGAAGTGGTCCTGGTGGTTTGAGTAACTCTCTAACGTTACCATCATTTGGGTCCCTATAAAAGCTGAGCGAAAAGCATCAGTCAAGTCACAAGCATAAGGCGTTGCAAAAGAACGTAAATGTAACTCAATGTTGGCAAGTCAAAAAGCATGCAGAAGTGTAGCGCAGGTGGTTCCATAAGTGACTCTTTTACATTTTGCACAAATTTATAAAACATACACAGGACATTTGATAAATCTCCCCCAGTGTATTGTGCAATAAGCAGAATCCATGCGTTGTACAATTTGTTTCATGACGTTGTGTGTTTCTGGCGTATTCTGATTTTTATATTTTGTAATATCAAAATTTGTTTGGCATGTTTATTACAATATATCATATTAGTACATTGTGTTTGTTTTAGATCATTTGTGGAGTAAACGCTTATTTAATATGACTTGTAGAATGTAGAGTTTATACTAGTTATATAATGTGTTGTTAGTGCATAATGTTTATTTAATATGTTGTTTTTCATTTACTGTTTGTTTTATATCATTTGTGGCACTAGAGTACATTTCTTTTGACAGTTAGCACCTAGTGTATGCTGTTTTATGTTTTATGTTTTAATGTATTGTGTTTACATTAAAGTGACCTTTCCGAATCTCAGAATCACACACATTTATCTTGCTCAATGATGTCCTACAGCCTCTCCCGACCTCTGCTGTAGCAGATTGATTTAGGCTATTTTCATGAGGACAGTGAAAATAAAGAGCTTCCTTAAGTCGCCATGAAAAGCCCCCCTGCAGGGAGCGTCTCCTGGGAGACCCCAAACTGCAGGACAACCAGCTAGGGGCTCTACGCTGCACCAAGAAATGGGGATGGGAGGGTGTGGAGGCATGATTAACCCCATGTACAGATTAATACACTGGACCGCGTTACATACCAGCGTTCGAGTTTAAAGCAGTAGAGCTCTGAACTAGTCACTAGCAAGATTAGTGCTCTGAAAAGGCAAAGTCTAAACAGCAAAGATCTGCTCTGCAGACTGCAGTATATAGAATGGAGCAATAGCCTGCAGGTCTTTGCAAAGAATATCAAATGGTGCGATCAATCAACACATAACTATAGAGGCAGCTCCAGATACTTGTCTGTGTCTCTTTAATGCATCTTGGCTCCACCCCCCACCCTGCCCCCCCCATTTTTTTTTTTTTTTTAAATGTTATTACTTTTTTTTTTTTCCTAATACTGCCAGTGGGCCGAGCTCTTGCTCTATAATGTTGTTAGCAGGACAGTAGAGCTGATGAAAGCCACACGGGAGAAATTTTAAGGAACACTATAGCATTAGGAATACAAACTAACTGGTTAGGTTACACACCCATAACACGCACACCAGCCTGTGGCTGCTCACTGTTGGAAAGGAAAGAAAGATTCCCTCACTCTAATAAAGTGCCACCTGGTAGGGCCTCTATTCAAATAATTAACATGGGGGACATAGTGTCCCGCTCCAGCCCTCACCCATGAGCGTCGGGTGGGTCCCTCATTGACAAAGGGGGGGGACCTATTGTCTTCGCCCCAGCCCCCACCCATGAGCGGCAGGTGGGGCCCTCAGTGACAAACGGGGAGACAATAGGTTAATTTCCCCTTTTGTCACTGAGGGCCCACACCCGCTGCTCATGAGGGACCCTCAGTGACAAATGAGGGACCCACCCGACGCTCATGGGTGATGACCTGGGGGGACCCTAGTTCTCATTTAGTTGGAGAGCCCCCAACACACGGGGCACAGGTGGGAGCTGAGGGAGCACACTATGTCCTCCCCAGTTAATTATCTTAATAGATAGATGCCCAACCATGGGGGTCTGGGGGACCTGTTCTAGGTCCCCCTTTAGTGGATTTGGGGTGGGGGGATTTTTTAACAGTGAGCAGCCACTTGCTGCTCACTGTTTAGTAGACATGCCCCTACTCGAGGCATAGTGAGTAGGGGCATTTGTGAGATTTTAATCTACCTTATGCTAATGTGGGGGTCATATTGACCCTCATAGAATGATAGGGGGCATGAGGGGGGGTAGAAAGTGACGGCTCTTCTATTTTCACATATTACAAGGAGGGATCTGTGAGTCAGTAGCTCCCTCCATGTAATAAACTAAATGAACAAATACCAGCATTCAATCTTGGTTTGGTCATTTATTTGTATTTCTGACGAATGAATAGCTGAAATTCCCATCCGAATTTCGAACGATAGCCAATACTCAAGTGTTTAACTGGGCATGCGTGGGAATTTCACAGTGCTATCTAGTGTGGGCAGACGATGTGTCCTACGAGGCCTTCATCTGCCCAAACAAAGATGGTGGCGCCCAGGACCTAGATACGGGCATGAAATAAAGATTTTAGAAAAGGTAAAATGGGAATCCTAGGGGTATTTGGAGGTGACTAGGGGGAAAATTAAATGTATTGCAGTCGGGCGGGGGAAAAAAAAAAACCGTGGATGCGGACATGACACTGCATGACAAGCTGCATATTGAAATGTTAAAAGAACTACAGAGTATGTAACTATCACACACCACTTTACAAACTGGCATTTTATCCATTAATCCCTCCTCCCCTGACATGCTGTTTCCTCTTGTGTGTCTTTACCCTTTCCTCATAGATTCCAGGGTCTTCTTCACCTCTTGTCTTCTGTTAAAGGGACTCTCAAAGCAAAGGATTTTACTCACCTAGTTCCAGCGTCGGGAGCCTCGTGAAGCCGCGCCCCCATTTCGTCAAAATGACGAAATAGGCGGGCGCAAGCAGGGAGCAATCAGACACTTCCATTTGGAACCGTCATTCCTCCCTTGTGCGCATGCGCGGCTTCGCCGTACATGAGCCCATACTTCATAGGGCGGCATTCATGTCCTCAAGTCCTGAGTGCACTACAGCGCATGCGCGCGGCCGCAAGCTGACTGACAGCTCAGCTCGCGGTCTTTGCCCACCCCCTCTCCTCTGCTGACAGGCAGGGGAGAGAAGGCGCGCACACAGTGCCTTCTCTCTCCTGCACACGTCAGGTGTATTTTAATATGTCTGACGTGTATAATGCCTTTTTAGTGCCCTACATGATAGGAAGTCCCTCTGGTGGCCATCTGAGTGACGGCCACTGGAGGTATTCCTATAAATCAAATTACATTAGATTGCCTGCAGGGAGCTATAGATCTCACCTGAACAACTACATTAAGCTGTAGTTGTTCAGGTGACTATAGTGTCCCTTTAATACTTTTAAAACATACCTCCTGATATTTAAAATGGACAGAGGGGGATCCTTTAATTTTAGGGGTGTGAGTGGGGGAGGGGGGGTGGGGTGTTCTGAGACTTACCAATATAAGTCTCTATATAACAGTTTATACAACTAAAATTAAATTTAGAACAAGAACAATCAATGTATCATAGACTGATTTCTAAACACATTTATTGCAGTTTAAAGACACATTACTGGGAGTATTATTGCTGTGGAGCTCTGTTATACACTCAGACACATTACTGGGAGTATTATTGCTGTGGAGCTCTGTTATACACTCAGACACATTACTGGGAGTATTATTGCTGTGGAGCTCTGTTATACACTCAGACACATTACTGGGAGCATTATTACTGTGGAGTTCTGTTATTCACTCAGACACATTACTGGGATTATTATTCTGTGGAGTTCTGTTATACACTCAGACATTACCTGGAGTATTATTGCTGTGGAGCTCTGTTATACACTCAGACACATTACTGGGAGTATTATTGCTGTGGAGCTCTGTTATACACTCAGACACATTACTGGGAGTATTATTGCCATGGAGCTCTGTTATACACTCAGACACATTACTGGGAGTATTATTGCTGTGGAGCTCTGTTATACACTCAGACACATTACTGGGAGTATTATTGCTGTGGAGCTCTGTTATACACTCAGACACATTACTGGGAGTATTATTGCTGTGGAGCTCTGTTATACACTCAGACACATTACTGGGAGTATTATTGCTGTGGAGCTCTGTTATACACTCAGACACATTACTGGGAGTATTATTGCTGTGGAGCTCTGTTATACACTCAGACACATTACTGGGAGTATTATTGCTGTGGAGCTCTGTTATACACTCAGACACATTACTGGGAGTATTATTGCTGTGGAGCTCTGTTATACACTCAGACACATTACTGGGGGTAGTATTACTGTGGAGCTCTGTTATACACTCAGACACATTACTGGGGGTAGTATTACTGTGGAGCTCTGTTATACACTCAGACACATTACTGGGAGTATTATTGCTGTGGAGCTCTGTTATACACTCAGACACATTACTGGGAGTATTATTGCTGTGGAGCTCTGTTATACACTCAGACACATTACTGGGAGTATTATTGCTGTGGAGCTCTGTTATACACTCAGACACATTACTGGGAGTATGTATTGCTGTGGAGCTCTGTTATACACTCAGACACATTACTGGGAGTATTATTGCTGTGGAGCTCTGTTATACACTCAGACACATTACTGGGAGTATTATTACTGTGGAGCTCTGTTATACACTCAGACACATTACTGGGAGTATTATTGCTGTGGAGCTCTGTTATACACTCAGACACATTACTGGGAGTATTATTGCTGTGGAGCTCTGTTATACACTCATACACATTACTGGGAGTATTATTGCTGTGGAGCTCTGTTATACACTCATACACATTACTGGGAGTATTATTGCTGTGGAGCTCTGTTATACACTCAGACACATTACTGGGAGCATTATTACTGTGGAGTTCTGTTATTCACTCAGACACATGTGTGTAGGTAGTGGTTACTGTGCGGTGCGAACCAATGCAATCATAATTACATTTTCCCGATTTCCCCCCAATTAAAACCAAGAGACATAAGTGTGGTATAAAACAGGCCACAGCTTTATTTATAATAACAAGCATAAATAAATCAACCAATAATTTACTCGAGAACTTGTCCTTGCCAACCGACCCATAATAACTCTAGAGTACCCCCTTCCAGGGTACCTGCCCTCCCCCCTCGTCCAAGATAACAGGCCTTTTACCTTGGCCTTCCAATACCCCATGCCAACCCCTGGCCGCCTTTTACTGGCACGGGGGGCACGCCCAATTACCACAACTCTCCGAGGTTAGGGGAGGGACCAGACCCAGCATTCCTTCTTCCAGTGTACTCGTTTTCCAACTGGTTTGGCAAGGACCATACCCGCCACTAGCGCCTGCTGCATTTAAGCCTAAATCAGCTGGCGCGACTCCCCACCAACGCCATGGCCTGCTCTAACGCGTCCTGCAGCGCCAGATTAAATAAATCTAAACCCACATCCGTGAGATGAACCCCATCTGGGCGAAAATAGATCGCCGCTTCCTTTTCAAATATCCGGTGTCGCACTGTGACACCCCCAACCCCGAGTACAAATTTGGACACCCTCTTGTTGATTTTAACCCTGCAGCGCTCAATCGCCCCCTGATCCCTCGCGCGGCGCCAATAGTTCCTAGATACTATACCTGACCAGACTAAGCAAAGCTGTGGGAAAAGGACTAGCAAGCGCGCCAAATCCCTTCTAATGAGCTCACTAAGCCCCCAAGCAGGCAGCGCCCCAAGATCGTTTCCCCCCAGGTGTATCACCAATACATCAGGGGCCCCCAACAATGTGGCTAACTGTAAAACCTCCGGCAAGAGCTGGCCCCAGCGCATGCCCCGAAAACCGAACCATCGGACCTCAGCCAGCTCCCGGGGAATTCCAAGTCGCGTCCCACCCGGGCGTACCCCTGCCCGCAGGTGGGCCCAGTAGATATACGAATGCCCAATCAGCCAGATCCGTCGGCCGGGCCCTGCGGAGAAAACACAAGGGGGGCACCCATCAGACGCGTGGGCCGGATATAAGAACGAAACCTCCCAGATTCCCATCTCCCAATCCTCTGAATCACTTGATCAGAGAAACCCAACCGAGAAGCTTCAGTAGCTGCCCCAATCCGGAAGGAATGACCCCCAAATTCACCACTCGGGATTCCCAGCATATCGAGTGCCAAGCGAAATACCCGGAGGAATTGAAAACGAGACAGGTAAGTACCATCCTCGTGCATTAACAACGGACCCGCAAGACTCGGGCGTATGGAGCAGTAGGACTGAAACGCAGAGGCTGGGCAAACAGACGAATTAGGGATGGTGCGAAGGGTAACCCAGCGACCCTTTCCAACAACGTCAGTTTTAGACCGTCGTATCAAGAAACGCACCGCACCATCCAAGAGGAACACATCGTGAAATAACAAACCCCCCGGAATCCCCCTGCTAGGGCTGATTAGTTCCCCAATCCGGAGGGCCCCAAAAAAGGCAAAAATAAAGGCCAACCGAAATAAACTGGCTTCATAAGCAGAATAACATATCTGCGGAAGCACTGAGGCAATTCCTAGCAGCAATGCCCCTGAAACCGGCCTACGAGAATCCTGCCCACGAGGGCCCCTACGCCAACCACGCATCGCAAGTTTAACCAAGAAATCCTTAGTGACATCCGGCACCCGAGTTAAGTTAAACCAGAAACTAAGACCGGAAAGCTTCCCAGAAACAGTAGCCGGCGAACACCCGCAAGCCTCCCAGAACCAAAGCAAATGTAACAAACCTTGAACTCGTTCCGCCGGGGAAGCGTAGCCTCCATGATCCTGCTCAAGAGCAACCCATTCCCCCCAAGCCTTACCATACCGGACCCAAGTGGCCTCAGACACCGAGGACCGTATCCATTCCCTTATCCGCTCAGGCCAAGGGACCATAGTTCTCCGGGACAGGGGAGGCCTTCCAAGTCTGCTCCCGGAGCGGCTTTCCGAAACACCTGCCATTGAAAGCGAGAAAGAGAGTCAGCCGTGGTATTCATGACCCCAGGAATATGCACAGCACGGCACGTTATGTTCAGAGACAAGCATCGCAAAACCAATTGACGCAATAGCCTAACCACCGGAGGGGAAGAGGCCGTCAAGTTATTGATGGCCTGAACCACACCCAGGTTATCACAGTGGAAGACGACGCGCCTGTCTTTGAGCTCCATCCCCCATAAGTGAACAGCCACCAAGATGGGGAAGAGCTCCAAGAACGCCAAGTTCTTGGTAAGGCCTGAATCGACCCACGATACAGGCCACGGCTCTGCGCACCAATGAGGCCCCAGGATTGCCCCAAAGCCAGAGGAACCCGCAGCGTCTGTAAACAAGTGAAGCGCGGCATTCGAAACCTCAGGCTGCTGCCAATAAGACCTTCCATTGTAAGTTTCAAGGAAAACAGCCCAGACTACCAGATCATCCCTGAGCGCCTTGGTTAAGCGGATGAAATGTAAGGGCTTCGAAATTCCAGCCGTGGCAGCCGCCAGGCGCCTGTTGAATACTCTGCCCATAGGCATGATCCGACAGGCAAAGTTCAGCTTGCCTAAGAGGGATTGAAGGCGTCGAAGAGTGATCTTTCGCAAGGAGCCCGCTTCCCGCACAGACCCCCGTAAGTCCACCAGTTTGTCCACTGGGAGCCGACATTCCCCGATAACTGAATCAATCTCAATTCCCAGGAAACACAGGCACGTGGAAGGGCCAACTGTCTTGTCGGGCGCCAGAGGCACACCAAACCCAGAGGCCACATCCGCCAATGACTGCAAAATATGTGCGCAGATTGAGGAGTGCGCGGGACCAACACACAAAAAATCGTCTAGGTAATGAAGGAGGGAGTTGTGACCAGACTCCATTCTCACCACCCATTCAAGAAAGGAACTAAAACATTCAAAGTAAAAGCAGGATATCGCACAGCCCATCGGGAGGCACATGTCCACATAGTAATGCCCCTCAAAATAGCAACCTAAGAGGTGATGACACCCCGGGTGAACCGGCAAAAGACGAAAAGCAGACTCGATGTCTGCTTTTGCCATGAGTGCCCCCGATCCGGCATCCCTGACCATACAAACCGCAGCATCAAATGAGGCGTAAGAAACACGGCATAATTCTGATGCAATGTCATCATTTACAGAACCCCCTTGGGGGTGCGATAAGTGATGAATGAGCCGAAATTTTCCCTGTTCTCTCTTGGGTACGACGCCTAATGGCGACACCCGGAGATCAGGGAGAGGAGATTCCCGAAAAGGGCCTGCCATACGCCCCAAAGCCACTTCTTTAGCCAACTTGTCCCTGACCACCCCAGGGTGGTCATAGACCGAACGCAAATTCCGGCATACCTTTGACGCCGGACGATGTTGATGGGGAATCCAAAAACCAAACGAAAAACCTTCCAGGAGTAAGGCAGCCGCCTTTTTATTTCTATAACGTTTTAACCACGGTTGCATCGCGCCGACGTCCACTGGCGTCCTCGCCCTTAGAGCCCATGGCGTCACCCTTGTCGCCAGTCCTGCCCCGCTTAAAGCATTTGGAGGCGGGGTGCGATCCGCCGCACCCAGAGCACTCGTGCTTGAAACGACAACCCGTGCCGAATTTACATTGCCCGTCGTTATACTGCCAGCAGCAGCCCGTTCGACGCTGATTGGCCGACGCAGTGGTCGCAGACCCTGCGCCGGCCCCCCCGAGAAAGGACGAGAGGCCCCCTTGATGCGATGCCGGGCGGGTCATGATGGCCAACCACAAGCCGATGTCCATCTGGTCCCAACTCAACGATGGGCGGACCGCTATGCGCTGGCGAAACTGCTCATCATAGCGCCACCAGCCTAATCCGCCATAGGTCCGGCACGCGTTCCATATCGTATCCTGATAGCAAAAGAGGGATGAGCATTTATTGGGGGACTTCTCGCCTATCACACTCGCCAGGATAGAAAAAGCCCTGATCCAATTACCAAAAGTTTTTGGTATCTTCCGATACCTAAACTTCTCCTTCTCCTTTTCGGAGTCTTTTGCCGCAGGATCAACACGAGGCAGATCCTCCATAGGGAGTAAGGAAAATATTTCAACGAATTCCCCTTTCTCTATCTTGGTGCGCAATTCCGGAGTCAAATGGAGACCTAGAGGGCCTGACCAGCACATGTAAGCCGCCCCATGCGCAGCGGGGGCTACCCCTGACCCCGAAGATGCCGCGGCGTCATCCGAGGATCCTTTGGATGGTTCAAGTTCCGCCACTGGAGGAACTGGCACCACAGGGCCACTGGGCCCTGCGGGGGCAGCAGAGGGCAATGCTACAACCCCTGAAAGGTCAGAACCACCAGCAGCCGCCCACCCTGACCGCAGCTGATCGTCAAGGGCTAAAGGGGGCTGCAGTCCAGGACGATGACCCTGCTCCAGAGACTGTAAAACTTGTCTCATGGTTTGTATTAAAGCGTCCCATTGAGGTAGGACCCCTGCACCAATACCCCTTAAGGCATCCCCCGATAAACCAGCGTACTCACCAGAGGCAATGGAATGTGACGGCAGCTGCGGCGACCCCATAACCCGGTCCACAGGTTGCGGCGGAACCACGGGAGCTGTAACCGCAGAAGGGACTGCACCAGCGCCAGCGTCAGAGAAACGCACCCGACCAGGGACACTCTGTGAAGAAAGTAAAGGTGAAAAGGAACCCAACCCTCCCACACCCACCGTGAAAGTACCTGGAGAGGCGGATGGTAAAGTAACAGACGTAGGGCCAGGAAGGGTGGAATGGGACCCGTCAAGGAGGGTGCCCGGATCAGGCCCAGGATGATGGGGAGGGACAGGTAAACCATGATGGACCCCCACCCTGAGAGGGCCCGCAGATGGGGCAGACAGTGAGCCAAGGGCAGGACCAGGAGTACCAGGGAGGATCCCTGACACAAGGGGGGCAGGTGAGGGGGAGGGGTGGAGTGATGGGGCAGAGACAGTGGGAAGAGGGGAAGTGCCAACCCCAGAGGGACCCACTGTAGGTGGGGTGGCATTATAAGAAGTGCCAGGAGCAGGCCCAGGGGAGGCAGGGAAGGAGGGCAGAGCAGGAGGGGAGCTGCTGTGGGGGTGAAGTGATACAGATGTCTTCCCATGGCCCCCAGACCCCCCTCCTCCCCCGGAAACGACCCTGCCGACCTGCGGCCTACTCACCCGACCGGAGGAGTGGGTTAGCAACGCACGGGTCACGGGAGCCGCATGCCGGGAAGCTCTGGTTGCTGGAGCCCTCCCGAACGCCGGTCTCGCCGCCGCCCTCCTCAATGCCCGCGAGACCGGCGGGGGAGGTGTGTGAGAGGCAGCGTGGGCCGCATCAGACCGCCGCGCGGCCACCTGCCGGCCTCCCCGAGCCCCGCTCGGGGAGGAAGTGCCAGGAGTGGGGGAGGCCTCGCCGGCCGCGGCCACCTGGGAACTGGCGCGCGGCCCGGCCACAGGGCTCCTGCTCCTACCCCTCACCCGACCCTCCCGCGAGGGGCTATACCGGGTAGGGGGGCGTGCACGGCGGCGCTGAACGCTGGGGCTGGAGACAGAGGGAACAGCCGACCCAGCAGCACCCTGCAGCCGCGCCAGCTGGGACTGCAGGTGAAGTCCCCCATCTTGAAGGGCCTCAGCCCTGAGGGCAGACAAGATGGCTTCAATGTCCATGCCCTGGCCGTGAGACAAGCAGTGGTAACAGGCAGCAAGGAGGGAAGATGTTACCAGCCGTTTATTCTAAGATGGCTGAGGTAAGGGACAAAATGACTGCCCTTTATATGACCCCACCCCACCCCTATCCTAAGTGACACCCCCCACATGTGACACCTACACTCACCACACCCACACATGCCTCCTATCCGGCTAGCTTTTCAGCCGGCCTCCTCTGGGCCTTTACTGGGATTATTATTCTGTGGAGCTCTGTTATACACTCAGACACATTACTGGGAGTATTATTGCTGCGGAGCTCTGTTATACACCCAGACACATTACTGGGAGTATTATTACTGCGGAGCTCTGTTATACACTCAGACACATTGCTGGGAGTATTATTGCTGTGGAGCTCTGTTATACACTCAGACACATTACTGGGAGTATTATTGCTGTGGAGCTCTGTTATACACTCAAACACATTACTGGGATTATTATTCTGTGGAGCTCTGTTATACACTCAGACACATTACTGGGAGTATTATTGCTGTGGAGCTCTGTTATACACTCAGACACATTACTGGGAGTATTATAGCTGTGGAGCTCTGTTATACACTCAAACACATTACTGGGAGTATTATTGCTGTGGAGCTCTGTTATACACTCAGACACATTACTGGGAGTATTATTGCTGTGGAGCTCTGTTATACACTCAGACACATTACTGGGAGTATTATAGCTGTGGAGCTCTGTTATACACTCAGACACATTACTGGGAGTATTATTGCTGTGGAGCTCTGTTATACACTCAGACACATTACTGGGAGTATTATTGCTGTGGAGCTCTGTTATACACTCAGACACATTACTGGGAGTATTATTGCTGTGGAGCTCTGTTATACACTCAGACACATTACTGGGAGTATTATTGCTGTGGAGCTCTGTTATACACTCAGGCACATTACTGGGAGTATTATTGCTGTGGAGCTCTGTTATTCACTCAGACACATTACTGGGAGTATTATCACTGTGGAGCTCTGTGTCAGACACACCACCAAATGGGGGACATTAGGACAGAAAAGGGGACCAGAGGAATTTGGGACCAAAATAGGGACTGTCCCTCCTAAACAGGGACACTTGGGAGGTATGGTTATATTTGGTATGTCAATTACTGGTTATGAGATATCCCCATTCTATAATTATGTTGGTACTATAAAAATAATACTAATTAATAACGTTCTTTACCACTGAGGTGTAATAGCGAACACAAGTTTGTTGATTTATGACACAATGGGTAACCTGGAATTGTATGTACCCCATGTTGATTTTATTGTGAATCTCTTTTACCTCTGGGCTGTATAGGTCAATGTAAGAGCAGCTACAAACCAAAATCTACTATTGTGATTTCCTCGCACACACTGACCTCTAGTGGCAACTCGTCAAACTGTTGCGCTGATGTTACATGCATTTCATTGTTTTTGCTGTGTTTGTTTTCTATAAAAGAGATAGGATAGGCAGAACATGCAGGATTTGAGTACATTATTATTGCAAAAGTAGACTACTAAGAAAATCTGCCAGGAGGCCTGCCTCTTCTATACACCGGTCTTATATTCTTTATTTGATCCTGTTGCCCCGCTCCGTAGACTGGTAATGACTCATTCTGCAGGACCTTGGTGGAGGCTCACTCTTCTACCAATTTTGTAGAATTTTCAGAGGACCTTGCGCACACACTTTTTCAGGGAGTACTCCCAGTAGGGTGCAAGAACCCAGACAAATCCAATTTAGACAACGTTTCGGCTTCCCTGAGCCTTCATCAAGAATTGACAAAGGCTCAGGGGAGCCAAAACGTTGTCTACATTTTTGTACTCCACAATAAAGTCTTCCTGCTGAAGAAACTACTGGGTGTGCCCAAACCTACTTATTTGTTCTTTCATCAATGTGACAGTTACCTGTGGACATAAGAGTACCGACAAGGGGGTTGTGGGCTGTAGCCTCAAACAATTCTTGAAATTGAAATTGTAAGAAGAGTGTTGGGGTGTTTGGACAGTTCAGCAGGGGTAAGACAGAAGGAAGGCTTTGAGGAGGTCCTTTTCTGTACTGTGTGTGTGTGTGTACTGACTGTGGTCTGTGCCTGACCCACTGGTATATTTACTGGTGGACTGTTGTATCTGATGCTCACATGGCTCCCAGATTGATATATATGCAAGTGTTTGCCAGTGAGACGGTGATCATGAAGTTTTGGTTGTCCCAAAAGATCTCATACAGTACAAAACCAAAAAAAGTGCAAATGTTGGAATATTCCAAATGTTCACTAGAGGGCGCCAGACACCAGCCAAAAGTATATAAATTTACCACTCCTGCAGCTTTATAAATGGGGATAAAAATTCATGTGGAAAATAAAAGAGAAAATAAAATCATAGGGTGATAAATATATTATATTAAAAAAAAAAAAAAAAAACACTTCAAACTGACAGACTGATAGACACACGCCCTCACTGATACACACACTGACATACACTCACTGACAGACAGACGGTCGTTGGTACACACACTATTTAGCCAACACACACTTTCACTGACAGACATACTGACAAACCCACTCACTGACGGAAACACACATCTCAGATACACATACACTGACACACTCTGACAGACACACAAACATTCACTGACAGTCACACAAACTCACTGACAGACACACACACTGATTTGGCATACACACTGACACACACACTCAATTCAAATTATCCACAATGCGTTTCGCCTTTCAGGGCGTCTTCAAAATGGAATAAAGATTCCAGAAGAAGCCCTGAAAGGCGAAACGCGTTGTGGAAAATTTAAATTGTGTATTTTAACAAATTTTTTTAAAATTGTTCACTTCTTTTGTGCCAATCATCTTTTTTATACACATTCTACTTATTTTATTTCTACCTGGCATTTTAATTTCCTGGACTCCAAAGAATCCTAGGTGGGGATCATACCACCCACGCTATCATCAGAGAGCAGTTAGCCTGCTCTTTGCTTGTGAGTACCATTTTATTTATCTTATTCACTATTGTTTTATCCAGGGAGCACCTTTAGCTGTCTCTTTCCACCCTTCTCCTGAGTGTTGAACATACCCCTGACGGAAGAAGTTTACTGCAAATCCCATAAGCAGGGATTGTACTGCTGTGCGCCCTTCAAACTAGAGCTAGCTATAGCTCTTACAAATGTGAGTCTATTACCATCTCTCCTACATATTGAATACATTGGATTGAACTTATTACACTATTTGGTCCCTTTTATGCTTTGTCTGTTCATATGAGTGGATCTGCCCGATAAAGACAGTGAGGATATTACTCCCAACCAAGCACTTTATTCTTTATCTGATCTAACAAAGATCATTCCATCTAGACTCAATGCACTTACATTCAGTCTGATTCTTATTTATTTTTTTACTGATACTGGACTTTGGCGCAGCCCTTACTTCCTTTTTAATATTCAATACCAATACATGTCTCTTTTACTGGGTTTGCACATAATCACTGCAAAACTGTTAAACCACCAGAGGGCGCTGCTCTTTTCACATAAACCTGTAGGGTAGATTGGATTAGCCGTATAAGCCCTGTCCATCTCAGTGTTGCCCCTTATCAATGCCAATGAAGGACATTTGGCATTGATAATGGGGAAAACCATCTGTTTATATTCTGTGTCCTTGAAATTAAGCTGTATGTAGCGCGCGTGTGTGCTCCACTGCGTCTTGTAGCACTGCCTTCATATTTTCTATTTTGCATTTGAGGCAGCCAGCTTGGGGCAACAGGGGGTAGCATTAGCAGTACATAGTGAGAATTTGTAGAGATTTGTCGTGTGTATTTTGGATACTGAAGTAACCCTAACTCTGTCTTGTTACAGTGAGTCAGGTGGACGGCAGGATAGAGATTTACCATTTAGATAACTGTTCACCCCTAGAGGGTAAACCACCAGAGGGCGCTGCTCTTTTCACATAAACCTGTAGGGTAGATTGAATTAGCCGTATAAGCCCCGTCCATCTCAGTGTTGCCCTTTATCAATGCCAATGAAGGACATTTGGCATTGATAATGGGGAAAACCATCTGTTTATATTCTGTGTCCTTGAAATTAAGCTGTATGTAGCGCGTGTGTGTGCTCCACTGCGTCTTGTAGCACTACCTTCATATTTTCTATTTTGCATTTGAGGCAGCCAGCTTGGGGCAACAGGGGGTAGCATTAGCAGTACATAGTGAGAATTTGTAGAGATTTGTCGTGTGTATTTTGGATACTGAAGTAACCCTAACTCTGTCTTGTTACAGTGAGTCAGGTGGACGGCAGGATAGAGATTTACCATTTAGATAACTGTTCACCCCTAGAGGGTCTGTAAGATTGCAGGAGCCTTTCTGCAAATTCTGGAACAAAATCGAATGGGAAATATGAATATGTTTTACACTCAGACACATTACTGGGAGTATTATTGCTGTGGAGCTCTGTTATACACTCAGACACATTACTGGGAGTATTATTGCTGTGGGGCTCTGTTATACACTCAGACACATTACTGGGAGTATTATTGCTGTGGAGCTCTGTTATACACTCAGACACATTACTGGGAGTATTATTGCTGTGGAGCTCTGTTATACACTCAGACACATTACTGGGAGTATTATTGCTGTGGAGCTCTGTTATACACTCAGACACATTACTGGGAGTATTATTGCTGTGGAGCTCTGTTATACACTCAGACACATTACTGGGAGTATTATTGCTGTGGAGCTCTGTTATACACTCAGACACATTACTGGGAGTATTATTGCTGTGGAGCTCTGTTATACACTCAGACACATTACTGGGAGTATTATTGCTGTGGAGCTCTGTTATACACTCAGACACATTACTGGGAGTATTATTGCTGTGGAGCTCTGTTATACACTCAGACACATTACTGGGAGTATTATTGCTGTGGGGCTCTGTTATACACTCAGACACATTACTGGGAGTATTATCACACAGTATTACACACTGTCTTTATGTGGTCACTTTTTTACTTTATTGCCAACACTAAAAATGATGTAGTGGGACCAAGTCCAATGTCCCAAAAAGTAAAAAATTGCTCTCCTAAGATGCTTTTGGTGGGAGAAGTTGGCCCCTTGGCCTTGTATCTGGAAGTACTTCATCGTCCTTCCCGTGCTGAAGATGGGCTCTGCTTAGCACACTGGCTGCATCCAAACCACTTGTCTGGTCTTGTCGGGTCAGAAAAAGCAGGATTAGTGTGAGTCACAAACCCTCAGAACGCAGGGCTCATGAAGAATGGAGTTGACCGTCCACAGTGGCTTGTGTACAAAAGTAAAATTAGAAAAGTTCTAAAGCATATTTTAACTTAGAGAAATGCTGATTGGTGGATAGTCTCTGCTACTATAGAAACGCAAGTGCTGCTACCAAAAAGGCCTATTAACTCGTAAGGTTTAAATCAATATAGCTGACTTCAAGGCTGTGGGATGGAAAATTATTATATTTATTATTTTTTTATTACTTTCTCTAGATTGCTAAATGCGGGTCTAAAGAGCAAATGAATATAAAATAATATAAACACATGAACACAGAGTCAGGTTGACAATTCCTGGGACACAATATATGTAAACTGTACCCACTTTTATCTGTGGGTAAAGTAATTGAACTCAGTTTATCATTTAAGTGAGCAATGTCTCCCTCTGCTGGCTACTTCTGAGTACTGAGGATTCTATAATTCCCGTTCTGCCAATTTGTCTACATATCAATCTGTTTGTGAATTACCGTTTGACAAGAACTGTTTAAAAACATTGTAACTAAGGTGAGTAGTCTGTGTAAACAAAGATTCTCATTCTTTACTTTTCAGACACTACATACAAAAGTTTCTCTGATCAACACACAATGGCTAGCCATTAAACTCAGATTTTAAAGCTGAAAAACCAGGTTTGAGATTTCAAAGTCAATGATTAATCATATTTAATGTATGTTTGAGTTAGCTTACAATCATCATTCATATGAATTGTAAGCATTTGAGACAGGAATGTGAAGATGGCAACACAACAAGGCGTATTCATTATAATAAGAATTGTGACAAATTGTCAAAGGAACTGAATATTTTAGGTGAAAATAAGAAACTCATTAAAATATCTGATTGACAAATGTTTCTACATTATATGACTTTGGACAGAAATCTTTACCTTTTGTTTTGATTGTTCTACCCTAATTGTACAGCGCTGTGGAATATGTTGGTGCTTTATAAATGGCAGTAATAAATAAATAAATAATAAACTTGTATTACTAACGTTTTAGTGTTCTACTCAGGGCCCTACTAAGTTAAAAAAAAAAAAAAAAAAAGGTAATAAATGTTTTACTTACCTTGTTTCCAGCACCAAGACTCGCTTCGGCCTCCCGTGCCATCTGGATGCAGGAGTCTACTCATCGTCTTCTCGTCCAACATAATGATTATCACAGGAAAAGTGCATGTGCGGCAAGAGTGACACTCGACTCATTAAATGCTTCTCATGCGATACGTGAGGATGTTGAATGTCACAGAGCGGAGTCTGACTCGGTTGTAGTAGCAGAAGCACACAGTAAGAGAGCCTGTGATAGAGCTCCTGTATTCTGAAAGAGTACCTCCGCCCAATCTGCTTCCCAGCTATTGGGGAGGGAGCACCTCTCCTTCCAGGCAGATTTCGTCCCCTCTGCCTATTCCACTATAGACCTTCTTCCAGGCAGATATCTACCTATGCTGGCGACGTGATTTCTATTGCCTTTACAAAAGCACTTGCTGCTCTCAGGCCTAGATCTCTTGATTTATCCCGGGGTTAGAGGAATCTTGCAGCCAGCCAACAGGTCCAAGATTCTGTTACTTGGATCCCTAAAAATCCACACAGACCCACTAGTTCTAAAAGGAACCAATATCCAAAGGTTTATTTTTTACTTGAGACTAGCCCATATGATCATTCCATAAAGCTTACGGTGACACATTCAATTCAATACATAAAACAAAATCATGTGAAGAAACATACAGGCACTCATAATAACACATAAACCTATAATAAAGAGGTAGGAAAGACAATAACTAACATGGAATATCTCTCCTTTCTGCAGAAACCATAAAATGCAAATCTAACTGAATATGCAAATTAACAAGCCTTGCTATTCAGGTAGTGCATATTGCTGTTGCCACCAACAGGTGGTGCTGTACAGGCTCCACAGCAAAATCCACCTAATTGGTACCAAGCATCAGCAGGACAGGAGAGCACACAAACAATTAACAATAAATACATAATACCCACAATGCTCCTATTATGGGCACAGGGTGACTTAGACAGGGTCCTACATAAAGTGTTTATCTGAAAATCCAGGTGATGGTGACTAAAGGTGGGTTTAGCCTTGCAACGTAAACATTGCGATAGGTACAAAACAGCAATGGTTTACATTACAGGACTTAACTACAGGACGGCTGCCCCCAGACCACTTCATTGAGATGAAAAATTTAAATTTTTAATGGTAAAAAGTTTCAAAAATTAGCTATGTTTTTCGGTTTGTCTGTTTTACCCTAAAATTTGATCTTTATTTTTAAATTTACTTTGAATTCCTGACAAATCTAAAAAAAAAAAAAAAAGCAAAGGTTAAAAAAAAAAAAAAACAACCTTAATTTTTAACTGCACTCCATTTACATAATAAAAATAAATAGTGGTTGGATTTGTTATTGTGACAGTCCTGATGATGATTGTTGGTCCTGATGAGGTAAAAATCATAGCTACAGAAATAGACCCTTAGGCCACTCCCCAGCGCAGTAGACAAAGTTTTTATCAGAACATCCCTTGTTTTTGAGAAATGTGCCCATTGCCTTTTTATTGGCAACTGTGATCTCATACATTTTGGAAATGTTATATTTTATGTTCAATAATATTAAAATATTCATATTTCCCATTCGATTTTGTTCCAGAATGTGCAGAAAAGCTCCTGCAATCTTACAGACCCTCTAGGGGTGAACAGTTATCTAAATGGTAAATCTCTATGCTGCCGTCCACTTGACTCACTGTAACATTGAAACAGACAGGCCAGTGTTAAGCTTAGTTCTTAGTTAATTGAAAACTCACTTCTTCAGGAAAGCGTATCAATTAAACTGTTAATAGCTCCCCCACAACCTGATTGCTCTCCTTCAACAATCATAAAAAAAACTATAAGTCTTCAATGAATACTATTCTACCAACCTACTTTCCTACCCTAACCTTACCTTTTGTATCGCTTTACCCCACTCCCTCTAGCATGTAAACTCATTGAGCAGGGTCATTAACCCCTCTGTTTCTGTGTGTCCAACTCGTCTGGTTACAATGACATATTTGTTAGTACACTAATTGTACAGCGCAGCGGAATTTGTTGGTGCTATATAAAAAAATAATAATATAAGACGTTGAGGGCTCTGTTTACTAAACATTGCATTAATCCGCATGGACAATCCATCTGCAAAAAACTAAGACAAAATAGTCCATATATTTCCGACTATATTTTGCTAGCAATTTTTATATTATCTTTATATAAAAGTATTATAAAAACAACGGGTTGATTAGGTGTAATGTGCTATTTATCTTATACCATATAAAATAAAATCCCACTACGGTTTGGAGAAGAAACCCTTTAAATTTTCTGCTGAGAGCCCTTTAACGTCTTTAGGTGATCCTGTGTGACCCTTTAGGACAGAATCTAGCTTGGACCGGCATTTAGTAGTTTCCTTGATGGATCAGGAATAGTTTGAAGTGCAGTCAGGCATAGAGCTGATAACCTTGATCACAGGAAAAGCTGACAGTCAGCTTAGGAAGCACAGGCCCCACTGAAATTTGGCAGAATGCAGCTACCTTGTCCTAATATCTAGACAACACCGGCTCCTTTGGACACCTCCAATCCTACCCTATCATTTCAAAGCCACCCTAGACTTAAAGAAGATCGGCTGAACTGTTAAGAGACTAGAGGCGTAGGCAACATTCTACAGTTCAGATGTTTTGGACTACACCTCCCATGATGCTTTGCAAGCTTTATAGCAGTAAGAGCATTCGGGGAGATGCAGTCCACAACATCTGGAGTACCGAAATGTTGCCCATCCCTGGCGCCACTAGACCAAGGTAATGCAGAACAGACACAAAAATAAAGTTAGCATCATGACTCATGGTAATAAAACGTATTAGAAGCTAAGAGATGCAATCAATGGGAAAATGTTTTAATAAATTAAAGGGACACCATAGTCACAAAAACAACATCGGCTTAATGAAGCAGTTTTGGTGTATAGACCATGTCCCTGCAGTTTAACTGCTCAATTCTCTGCCATTTAGGAGTTAAAACACTATGTTTATGCACCCTAGTCACACCTCTGTACATGTGACTGCACAACCTTCCTAAACACTTCCTGTAAAGAGTCTTCTAATGTTTATACTTCCTTCATTGCAAACTCTGTTTAATTGAAAATGTCTTATCCTCTGCACCGCTAAAAGCTTGCTAGACCTTGCAGGAGCCTCCTGTGTGTGATTTAAGTTCAATATACAGAGCAGGAGATAAAAACTTTTAAAGCAAGTTACATCTGATTAATAATTAAACCATTTTTTTTCATGCAGGCTGTGAGAGTCACAGCCAGGAGAGGTGTGGCTAGGGCTGCATAAACAGACACAAAAGTGATTTAACCCCTTCAGGACGGAGTCAATAGTACACGTTCTGATCAAAACAAAATGTAAACAAAACCTGGAATTTGCGCTATATGTCTGTTCAACCGTAATTCACCTCTTTCATATTAAGTGCACCCACACTTATTATATATCATTTTGTTCAGGAGAAACAGGGCTTTCATGTCATATCAAATATTAATATATGAAACATAATTTATTATGAATAAAATAAAATAAAAATGTAAATTTGTAGTTCCGCCTCACATTTTTGCTGTAAATGTCATAATACTGTTAGCTTTTACTGCAAAACAATCACATATTTGGATTCAGCAAAGTCTCACAAGTACAACAGAACCACCTTATATTTGACTCTCTAACATTCCAAAATGCCATAAAAACTGTACATGGGGCATGTGGCACCCGGGGCGGGTCCTGGGTTTGGCACCCCCCCTTCTCCAAAAAAAAAACCTACTAAATTTTTAAAATGTGTTAGATTTAAAAAAAAAATTATTGAACAAATTTGTAAACTTTTTAAAACCCCTGCCCCCTCTACAAAATCCCTGCACCCCCTCACACACAGTTACAGGCAGACAGTCACATGCACACAGTCACATGCAGACAGTCACACATATAGTCACAGGCAGTAATACACACAGTTACAGGTAGAGAGTTACACACAAACACAGTCAGTTACAAACAGTTACACACAGTCACGCACACTGTTACAGACAGAAAGTCACATATACAGTCATACACATAGTTACAGCCACAAACACACACAGTTACAGGCAGTTTCACACACGGTCAGTTACAGGCAGTCACGCATAAAGTCACAGGCAGCCAGTAACACACAGTTACAGGCAGCATCACACAGTCACAGGCAGACTGTCACACACACACAGTTACAGGCGTGCAGTCACACACACACACTTATAGGTAGACAGTTACACACATATACACACAGTTACAGGCAGACAGTTACACACACACACACACACATATTTACAGGCAGACGGTTATACACACAGTTACAGACACACACAAGACAGACAGACACACACGACAGACAGTCACACACACACACACACAGTTACAGACTGACAGTCACACACATACATACACACACACAGTTACAGACTGACAGTCACACACACACAGTTACAGACAGACAGTCACACAAACACACACACACACAGTTACAGGCAGACAGTTACACACACACATAGTTACAGGCAGACAGTTACACACACACACACACACACACTGATATTTACAGGCAGACAGTTATACACACACACACAGTTACAGACACACACAAGACAGACAGACACACACACACACAAGACAGACAGTCACACACACACACAGTTACAGACTGACAGTCACACACATACATTCACACACAGTTACAGACTGACAGTCACACACATACATACACACACAGTTACAGACCGGCCCAGTCACGCACATACATACGCACAGTTTACCGCGTTGACAGTGCCACTCCACTTTTACACGATTTCAGACTGCCAGTCCGCACACACACGCGCACACGGTTACAGACTGGCGGTCACGCACACGGTTACAGACAGTCACGCACGCATACGCACACGGTTTACAGACGATTCGCACGCATACAGCGCACACACGGTTACAGACTGACGGTCGCACTCGCACGGTTACAGACAGACGGTCACACCGACGCCACAGTTACGGACAGACAGTCCGCACACGCACGGTTACGGACTGACGGTCGCACACACACACACAGTTACAGACACACAGTCACACACACACACAGTTACAGACAGACAGTCACACACACGCACTCTTATACTTACAGACAGTGTGGGCTAGAGGAGTGGATTCCCTGGCCTGAAGTCCTTCCCTGGCTGGAGGTGGAGGTGCAGCAGTTACAGCAGCTTGTAAGGGCGGTGTTACCGCCCCGCCCCCGCTCACGGTTAGGCACCGCCCCTAAATGACCGTAGCTCCGCCCCTTCCTCCTGTGCGGCCAGTTCATCATGCTGGTCTCCATGTGAGCTGTGTGTCACCCCAGCTGCCATGGGGCACAGCTCACACAGCCCCCTCCAGCCCCAAGACCAGGGTCAAGGCACCCCCATACCAGGTGGCACCCGGGGCGGACCGCCCCCTCCTCCCCCCCCTTAGTCCACCACGCATGGGGGGTACTGTTATACTTGGGAGACTTCACTGAACACAAAAATAAGTGGTTTAAAACATATTACAACAATAATATCGTCAGTAAAGTGCCATTCGTGTGTGAAAAATGCAAATAACATCACTATTACTAAAAATATCATTGTTGTAATATAAGTTATCATTTTGAAACACTAATATTTGTGTTCAGAAAAGTCTCCCGAGTAAAACAGTACCCCCCATGTACAGGTTTTATGGTGTCTTGGAAAGTTACAGGGTTAAATATAGTGCTTGCAATTCAAATTCTCTGCACTTTCTGCCTGGGTTGTCAGACATGTCAATCAAATTCTAATTAATTAAATCACATAATTGTGTTAAAATATTACTTAAATATACACGTATAATTTTAATATATATACATATATATGTATTTAAAGTGTACGTGTGTACTTATGTAGTTATTTATGTAATTATATATATTTATCTGTATATATATATTTGCCGTTATTTGTATTTTATATATATATATATATATATATATATATAGATATAGATATAGAATGTCATTCTAAGTGTATTTTGTTACCAATATATATATATTACTAACAAAATACAGTTAGAATGAAATTACATATGTATATATAATTTATTTAAATTTTTAAAAAAAATATTTTATTTATTTATTTTATTATTATATTTATTTAAAATTTTAATTATATGTTTACATATAAATATAAAATATATAGATGTATTATATATATATAATATATATATATCTTATATATTATATATATATAATATATATATATCTTATATATATGTAACGTCATTCTAAGTGTATTTTAATACTAATATATGTACTTATATTAACATTAAAATACACTACGTATGACGTTACATATATATAAGATGTATATATATTATATATATAATATATATATATATATATATATATATATATATATATATATTATATATATATATATATAAATACATGTAATTAATTTTAAACATGTTTAATCATTTTTTTTATACTTCCCACCAGGGGGACTGTCTGACATTTCAGACAGTCTCCCTGCTGACAGATCCACAGCCAGCTATAGGGGACCATGTGATCGCTCTTTTGAGAGCGATCACATGGCCCCTGGGGGCCTGATTTGCCGGGGGAGGGCTGCCTGGGCTGTCAGGCAGTCCTGCCGAAGAGGATCGCGGCGGAGGTGAGTAAATTTCACCTCCTGGGGCTGCAAGCCGTTACGGTGTTCTATGCCGCCGCAACGGCTTTAAAGCCCATTTAATGCGGGACGGCATAGAACGCCGTAATGGCGTTAAGGGGTTAACTCCTAAATGGCAGAGAATTGAGCAGTGAAACTTCAGAGGCATGACCTATACACCAAAGCTGCTTCTTTAAGCTAAAGTTGTTTTGGAGACTATAGTGTCCCTTTAAGTCCTCAATAATCCATACAAAATGTGCAAAATTTATCTCTGTGTTCTCTACAAATAAATTGAAAACTAAATTGGCACTCATAAACTCTGGATATATTTTATTCCAGGGCCACCAGGATTACTTATTTTTTTAAAGGAGCACTCCACTGGGAAAAAAATAAAATGAAATCACTATTTAGTAGATACGTTCCCCCAATGAAAACATGCATGCATTTAATTCAGCATTTTCTTATTTGGAGGTGTACCTAAAAACAGCTTTTCAAAGGCTGCAGAACTGCTGTCTGCAGCCTTTGTAATTTCTCCCCTCTTTCCCTTCGATCTAGAATACTCCAATCAGGAGTTTGTCATTGAGAAGCCTCTGTGCTGTAGCCACAATCACTGGTGCACACAGCATTCCTATGCTTCTCAATAAGCTGTAATATAGTGGATCTGTCAGTTTCAGGCGTATTTGCCTATTTTAGTGTGCGATGGCCATAGCGTGCAGTGGAAGGTAATTATACTTACCTGAAGCTGTCCCTCACATTGGTCATATTCTTTCTAGAGACCTTCTTCAGCTCCTAGTGCAGGCCTACCCAAATTCCGGCCCTCCAGATGTTGCTGAACTACAACTACCATGATTCTCAGTCTATCTATTTCATTCATAGAATCATGAGAGTTGTATTTCAGCAACATCTGGAGGGCCAGGGTTTGGGGGAAGCCTGTGACCTAGTGCTTCATCTGCCAGGAGACACATTACTGCTGTATTCTTGTGCATGCTTAACCCCTTAAGGACCAAACTTCTGGAATAAAAGGGAATTATGACATGTCACACATGTGTCATGTCATGTGTCTCTATAATTTCAATTTCAAATGTAACGTGCTCTATTTGACCCTGTAACTTCCCAAAACGCCATAAAACCTGTACATAGGGGGTACTGTTTTACACGTGAGACTTTGCCGAATTATAGATATATATATTAATATCAAATTACACGTATATATATACATATATTAATTCTACATATATATTTATGTAATATTTTTACATAATTAGGTATCTTAATTAATTACAATTAGCGGGACCTGCCTGACAACCCATGCCGAAAGTAAAGGGAATTTAATTTGCTAGCACTATATTTAACCCTATAACTTTCCAAGACACCATAAAACCTGTACATGGGGGGTACTGTTCTACTCGGGAGACTTCGCTGAATACAAATATTAGTGTTTCAAAACAGTAAAATGTATTACAACGATAATATCGCCAGTAAAAGTGAAGTTTTTTGCATTTTTCATGCACAAACAGCAGTTACACGGACGATATTATTGCTGTGATACTTTTTACTGTTTTGAAACACAAATATTTGTGTTCAGCGAAGTCTCCCGAGTACAACAGTACCCTCATGTACAGGTTTTATGGTGTTTTCAAAAGTTACAGCGTCAAATATAAGGCTTGCGTTTCATTTTTTTCACATTAAAATTCGCCAGATTGGTTACGGTGCCTTTGAGACCCTATGGTAGCCCAAGAATGAAAATTACCCCTATGATGGCTTACCATTTGCAATAGTAGACAAGGTATTGCAAATGGGGTATGTCCAGTCTTTTTTAGTAGCCACTTAGTCACAAACACTGGCCAACATTGGCGTTTTTTGCATTTTTCACACAAACAAATACTAACGCTAGCTTTGGCCAGTGTTTGTGACCAAATGGCTACTAAAAAAGATTGGACATACCCCATTTGCAATACCTTGGGTTGTCTACTATTGCAAATGGTATGCCATTGTGGGTGTAAATTTCATTCCTGGGCTACTATAAAGTCCCAAAGGCAACGTAACCAATCTGGCGAATTTCAATTTCAAATGTAACGTGCTCTATTTGACCCTGTAACTTCCCAAAACGCCATAAAACCTGTACATAGGGGGTACTGTTTTACACGTGAGACTTTGCTGAATACAAATATGTGTATTTTATTGCAGTAAAAGTAAACAGTATTATGACATTGACAGTTAAAATGTCATGTAGAACAAAAAAAAATCTAAAAAATTATTTTCTCCCATTTTTTTCCTATTAAATTATGTTTCATAGCTAAATATTTGATATTAAATGAAAGCCCTGTTTCCCCTGAATAAGATTATATATAATAAGGGTGGGTGCATTTAATATGAAAGAGGTGAATTACGGTTGGACAGACATGTAGCGCAAATGCCAGGTTTTGTTTACATTTTGTTTCGTTCACAACGTGTACATTTGGCTCCGTCCTTAAGGGGTTAATTTTAGATTTTGGCTTAAAGGGACACTATAGTCACCTGAAAAACATTAGCTTAATGAAGCAGTTTTGGTGTATAGAACATGCCCCTGCAGCCTCACTGCTCAATCCTCTGCCATTTAGGAGTTAAATCCCTTTGTTTATGAACCCTAGTCACACCTCCCTGCATGTGACTTGCACAGCCCTCCATAAACACTTCCTGTAAAGAGAGCCCTATTTAGGCTTTCTTTATTGCAAGTTCTGTTTAATTAAGATTTTCTTATCCCCTGCTATGTTAATAGCTTGCTAGACCCTGCAAGAGCCTCCTGTATGTGATTAAAGTTCAATTTAGAGATTGAGATACAATTATTTAAGGTAAATTACATCTGTTTGAAAGTGAAACCAGTTCTTTTTTTCATGCAGGCTCTGTCAATCATAGCCAGGGGAGGTGTGGCCAGGGCTGCATAAACAGAAACAAAGTGATTTAACTCCTAAATGACAGTGAATTGAACAGTGAAATTGCAGGGGAATGATCTATACACTAAAACTGCTTTATTTAGCTAAAGTAATTTAGGTGACTATAGTGTTCCTTTAAAATTCACTCCAATTCAAAGTGTATTCAATAAACTCCAAATTGGAGTGTTTGAATCCCTGAGATGAATTAAATCTAACTAAAAAAATGGGAGAATTTAGTCTCTTCACACATCATGCAGCAGGTACAGCTATACTTGTTCTATTACCACCCACCTCAAGTACCAACAGTAACTTAATTTGTTAGATTGGTGAAACTAATTGATGTTCGTTAACCTGAGTCCAGCCAGCACTAGAACTAGCACAGCGCATAACCCTTAACTATAATCAGTAATAATATAATCATAAAATATAGATACATTCTCACTGGTGTCTACAGTCAGAAAATTGGATACAAATGGTGGAAACAAAGTAATGAGTACAAAATTCTCATTATGACTAACTCCGATCCCTCCTAATATAACAGCCCGTAGACCAAATAAATAAAATATAATAAGGTGCATCTTTCTATTGGAACGTTTTATTTATAATAATAATAATAATGCATACTGCATCACTTATCACATTAAAAAAGGGCTTCTTTGTTATCTTAAATGGCAGTTCAATATGTATAATTGGTTAAACGTATAAACCATAAATTAAATAGGAAATCCCCACAAAACAAAAGTATAGTTATCTCCCCTCTGTAGTATCATATTATTATTATTATTATTATTTTATTATTTATATAGCGCCAACAAATTCCGTAGCGCTGTACAATGGGTGGACTAACAGACACATAATTGAGATCAGACCACTGACGTACAGGAACAGAGGGGGGTGAGGGCCCTGCTCGATGAGCTTACATGCTAGAGGGAGATATTCTCTGGGAGATAGATAGCTGTGCTTAATTCAATATATTACATCAAGGTTAGCTAAATTAAATCCTCAGAGATTTGGAGGGATTTTGTACAAACTTTGTTTTCACTGTTCGTATTCAATATTTTATATTCTCTAGATTTTCTGACACTGTAGACACAGTGAGATTTTTTTTCTATATACTTTAAGCAACTTAATTTACCCCAATCCTGTGTGAACAAGTGATTTACATTTTATCACACCTTAAATACAATATCATTAATCATCATTTATTTATCATTTATTTCTAGACAGTCTGTGAGGTCAGAAAACCATTGCAAACTGTCCAGGAAATAGCTTTGTCAGTGTGTGTTGGAGCAACAGACAGACAGAGAGGAAAATAAGTTCTGGAATGTTAAATGAAATATTCTAGGATTCCAACAGCCAACATTGCTGACAACCAACTATACTTTTATCAGAGGAGTGGGAGACATGCATTGTGTTATGGTTTATGGTCAGTTACTGTGCTATTCTGGATTGAATAATGTATCTGAGACTGTCCATATAAAATCTATGAGATTGTGGTTTCATTGTGCCAATGTGCTTTTTAAAACTATTTACTCAGCACCTTTAAATGTTACAAATAATTTAGTGGTGAAAGGGTTTAGCTACTAGGAGTCATATCTGTGAACATGACATATATCTAGTGTGTGTGTGTGTGTGTGTGTGTGTGTGTGTGTGTGTGTGTGTGTGTGTGTGTGTGTGTGTGTGTGTGTGTGTGTGTGTGTGTGTGTGTGTGTGTGTGTGTGTGTGTGTGTGTGTGTGTGTGTGTGTTGTTGAAACTATTATTCACTGTCTATTGGAATGTTTATTTTGGCAATATTACAGAGCATTTAAGAAGAAAACACAATTTGTCTGCTGACACTTACCTTGCTCCTTCTGTGTTGTGTTTGTGTGTATATGTGTTTGTGTTTTGATGGTGTCTGCTATACATCACCTGGGTTTCTGTGTCTCTCTGGGGGAGGGGGTGGGGGGAATTTATCAAGGTGTCCTATCTGCCTGTCCCAGGCTGTGAAGTGCTCCAGGGGCCCCATGTGCTGCTGAAGGGGTTAACCAGCTGCCCCCCATGCTGCAGGCTGGCTCAGGTGAAGTGTAAGCCCCTCCCACTGGTCACACCTTTGCCGAGCGTCCAATGAGAATAAAGGTGTGCCCGCGGCGGGCCAATGAGCGTCGAGGCGTGTCCAGTCCCTTTAAATGCGCAGGGCGGGAGGGACAGGAGGCCAGTGATCAGCTGCCGGGAGAGAGATGAAGATCAGAGCTGGGTCTGAACCATGCCAGCCGGCCTCCTCCTCCCCCTGGCAGCCCTGAGCCTGCTCCTACTACTCCTACAGCTCCCACAGCCCGGGGACTGCTACTTCGGGTCAGACATTACTATTATTATTATTAGTTATTATTATTATATATTATTATTATTAGTTATTATTACTGTTATTATTACTGTTATTATTATTATTATTACTGTTATTATTATTAGTTATTATTACTGTTATTATTATTATTAGTTATTATTAGTTATTATTATTACTGTTATTATTAGTTATTATTATTATTACTGTTATTATTACTGTTATTCTTAGCTCTCTGTTATAACTATATGTACTGTGCTTATAACTACCATATACCTATCTCTCCCAATTTACCTGTCTTTATTCAATTTCCCTGTCACTCACATTTACCTGTCTCCCTCGTTTTACCTGCCCCTCTCAATTTCCCTTTCTCTCTTCCATTAATCTGTCTCTCCCAATTTACCTGTCTTTATTCAATTTCCCTGTCTCTCTCACATTTACCTGTCCCTTTTACATTTACCTGTCTCTCACATTTACCTGTCTCCCTCATTGTACCTGTCTCTCCCATTTTCATTGTCTCTCCCATTTTCATTGTCTCTCCCAATTTCCCTGTCTCTCTCCCATTTACCTGTCTCTCACATTTACCTGTCTCCCTCATTGTACCTGTCTCTCCCATTTTCATTGTCTCTCCCATTTTCATTGTCTCTCCCAATTTCCCTGTCTCTCTCCCATTTACCTGTCTCTCACATTTACCTGTCTCCCTCATTGTACCTGTCTCTCCCATTTTCATTGTCTCTCCCAATTTCCCCGTCTCTCTCCCATTTACCTGCCGCTTACATTTTACCTGTCTCCCTCTGACTTAGTCCCACATACCCACTCTCCTATTAGTGATATTCTCAGTCTATACATGAGCCTGATCATTCCTCCAGTGACACTGTGTAACAATTCCAATCTACAGCTCCTTCTTTACCAACTTCACTTCCATCTGTTGCCTCTATACAGTCCACTGATACAGTCTCCATATCTGTGTATCTCTCATTGATTGAACACATGTATCTATTCTCTCTATCTGCCTCTCTATCTGCCTGTCTAAAATCACTACTTTTATTTCTAATTTCTTGTGACACCTTACTATAACCCCCCTCTCTGTGTGTATTCTAATTTATGTATTTTTCTATAACTTTTCTCTCTTGCTGCTAGATTATTAATGTTATGTTATTTAATCACAAGAGATATTTGTCTCATCTAATAAAATGTAAATTTGACTTTAACTCATTCTCTCCCCCCACTCCCACTACACTTTTCTATCAATTTTCCTATTTTAGTTAATTTCCCTTTAATTTTATATATATATATTTTCTCTTATTACTATCTCTTTTATTACTTTCTCTGTCACCCTTATCTCTATATTTTTATCTCACACCATATACATGCATTTAGCTCTTCGTCTGTTTTACCTTTTCCCATCCCATTCTCTTCTTCTCCTCTGTTATCTACCTCCTCCTTCAATTCTTTCTCATTCTCCCTTTCTGTCTCATCCTTTGTCAATCCTGCAGTATCCTCTTCACCGAATAGTAAATTGCTTGTCATGATTAATCAATTTTCAGGCTGCGATCAAAAGAGGTAAAGAGATTATATCAAAAAATATTTTTCAATTAAGGGATTATCTCTCTGAGATTTTAGAACATCATCCTTTCATCTATATCACATGACAGGCACACACACCAAGATAATATACAGAATTATACAACATGGAAAAATAATTAGCTCACCAACAAAATATAAAGCACATATATAAACCCACAATTAAATAGATGCAGGAATATTTTTTTACTTAACTGTTCTGTGCAATGATTGGATATGTATATGTTTGAAGACATGCTAAAAAATGTAGGTCTTTTTTTATGCTTTCATATTTAAAACACAAATTTAAGTTTTAAACTCTTGTAATCTATAGAGATAAAATAAACTGCAGATGGATCACAATTAATTTGAAAATTCACATCAGGAAAATATAATAACAGATATAGCATATTATGCATGTTAATTAAATGTTGACTTGTTCTTGCAATAATTATTATTATTATGTATTTTATTTTATATTTTCATATAGCAATATAAAGGCACTACTATAAAATATTAGATCTGCAAAAAATATATAAAATAAATTTAAAAAATTATACTTTAACTAAATCACAGTTTTAAATTGATATATTATACTTCTTTTTTTATAATTCTTTATTTTTGTAGTGCAGGAAAATACACACTGTTGTATAAATGACAACATGAGGGAAGACGACATTAGTCTCAATCAAAACGGTATACAGTATATCACAGATGCAGCATTATTTTATATTAAGAAACAATCATGCTTATAGGGCCTGCCGGAATTTGAGACAAATATTATACTTTTTTAATTTACAATTTTTTTTTTTTAAACAGCCATCATTAAAAAAAAAAAAATATATATATTTTTAAATATTTCTGTGTATTAATAATAAATATAATGTTAAAAAATGATTACAGCATATCAATTTATTATAATATAACAATAAATAACTTTGTTTTAACAGTATATTATGCTAATATGCATAGAATATTAGCATAAAATTCAGAGAGGCAATCGAAAATTCTCAAAGGGTATTGAAATGTTTCTAATTTAACCTTTTTAAAAACGACTTTTTAAATTTATTTTTATTTAAATATTTGTTAAATCATCTGCGTGACAGTGAATCCTATAGTAATAGTGAGAATCACAAAATGTTCTCTCCTCTTCCAAACAAATAATTTAAATTATTTCATTGGAATCTGGCTTTACGTCAAACACTAAAAGGGTTCAAGCAGCCTTGAAAAATACATTTTATTTTTATGAATATTTTTTCACACTTATTTCACACCGATTTCCTCTTCCTGTTTTCACATTCACTTGTCTTTCCCTCTGCTCCTTTTTAACTCTTGGCTTAGTATTTCCAGTGCACTGTTACAGAAAGAACTACACACTGCTTTTGGCTTCCAAAGGGTTAATACACTCAGTCACCTTTTTGGTGTCATGCTTTTCCTCTGTTTGTCTGTCTGTCCGCCTTCCTCTCTCTACTCTTCCCCAGGACTGGATTTCAAATATGACATGTTAGATGGTCATATAAGCAGGTTTATCTGTTTTGTGTTTTTGTTTCCAAACATATAGAGAGATAGATAGATATTTTAATTCTGATTTTAGCAAATAAACGTCACTCTTGTATAATCTATCTTGAAATTTACACAAATCCATATAGAAAGAGTCACAGATTGGGGTTTGAGCAGAAGAACGTAGCCTGAAACGTCAAACTGGTGGGCTAGTAAAGTTTATTTGATGTTTTTACACCCGCAATATTTTATTTTTCAATAGTTTCCCAAGCCTATAATTCTCTCGTTGGCGTTTTACCTGGGTATATTTATCTTTCGGAATAACAAAATTAAACAAAATGGCAATTTTGCACTGGAAGATGCAATACATCGCCGTGCTTTCTAATAAAATACAAAACATATTCTGGTAAAAGTAGAAAATATAACAAAAATCTAATGCAGGGTTAGAACAGTTAAAATGTAAGTACATGATTTATCCATATTTATTTTGTGTTTGAATATTTAATCCTTTTTTGGATTAAACCGTTTAAAAGCTGCTGAGTTCAACTAATTGCTTTCAACACCTCAGCAACTGGTTTATTAATGCTTATAATCAGCAGAGTTCTTTTTTAGAATATAAACTGCTCCAGATTACAGTGAACTTTATAACTACAATGTCCAAGAATTTTTATCAAGCACGTTTATTCACTAAAGCGCGGAAAGTTGGTAATTTTAAGTTTTTTCAATATTAATTTCACACTTTTATATATTACATAATCATTTCCCATATCGGACAATAATAATGCATTAAATTGCCAAAATTATCTTAAAAGGATTTCATTGATTAAAATGACCTTTAATACCTCTATTTTTGTCATGTAAAAAATACATGTGTATTATTATTTTATATGTTGACCTTAATTAAAGTATACATCAAAATAAAAATATAAATAAAAGTTATTATACAAATTATTAATATTTTTGGGGCTGCCTTGAAATTGCCAGGAATTCAAATTGAATAAAAAATTTTAGACCATGATTTATTTTTCCAATTCTGCTTTTTTTTTTTTTAAATTAAAATTTGAATTCACTTTGAAGTAATCTTGAATTCCTACAATAACCATGTACGGTGATAATTAGTAAAAGATGATGTTTAATCACCGGACAGTAAATTACAGTAAACCGAAAGCCAGATGGCAAATTTTAGGTCAATATAGCCAAGTTGTCACTAGATCCAATATGGAGAGTTTTTTTTTCCAAATCATCTATTTTTGCCTACGTTTTGCAATCAGCTTTTTAATTCACTACAATTGCTGTTTAATGAATAATTTCTAATGAACTGAGAAATCCTAACACAAAATATGATCCAAAAAGAGGGTTTGCATTTCACAATTTGAGAGAGAGAAAGCTTTTGAAAAATAAAAACAATCAGTCTTAAAAAGTTTACTTCCAGAAAAGTCTTAGTTGTGCATAGAAATATAACATTTGTCTTTTATTCCGGACTACAAAACATTTATTTTTGCAAAAAAAAATTTAAAAAAATAAAAAGATCACTTTGATAGACATGTTTTGTTGTCTGTCAATAAGAAAGAATTTTAGATATGGATACGGGGATCCACCAATAAAATCTTGCCATCAAAAGTGTATGTAGTGTGAAACTTTGCAGAGATCTTGTAGTGCTATTTTATTGATTAGAGCACGGCATCGATACAGCAAATGTCAAACCGTGCAACTCCACATCCTATTCCTCCAACCGAATATAAAGGCAGAGGATGTGAACTTTAAGCGTTTAAGATATATTGTGCCTTTCTTTGTAGTTAAAAACTACAAACCTTGCAGAAAATAAAATATATTATTTATGTTGTTTTTGCATAGTCTGACCAGCAAGGAGTCTCTCTCCCATTTTACGTCCCTATCACCTGCACCTGGCTCTGCCCACAGCAGACCCCATCTTAAACAGTGTGAGCTCCTACCACTCACACGGCGCCAACGGAGGCTGTGCCGGAAGGAGCCAGGACTAGCAGAATCTCTGAAGGACGCTGTTCGTTTGGGTATCGTGGAGTGCCAATTTCAGCTGCGAACTGAAAGGTGGAACTGCAGCCTACAAGGACGAGGGAGCCTCCTAAAACGAGGTGAGACCCCAACCAGTTATCATATTGGAAATGTGACGTTCATTGGCACGTTGGGGTAGTATTCTATTCTAAGGAGTGAAACAAAAAAAGGGGGGGGGGGGCTCACCAATGCATTCAATGTGCCCACTGGTTTCAGTGGTGATTTCCCTACTGAGTCTGTCCATCAAATATGTGCTTTTCCATAATCCTAGTTTTTCCTTACAACTTTCTTCTGTCTTTCTTCACTGCAGGATTTAAAGAAACAGCTTTTCTATATGCAGTGTCATCCGCTGCCCTGACACACTCTCTGGCCAAAGCGTGCAGTGCTGGTCGGATGGAGCGTTGCACTTGTGATGACTCTCCTGGGCTGGAAAGCCAGCGAGCCTGGCAGTGGGGTGTCTGTGGGGACAACCTTCGGCACAGCACCCGATTCTTGCAGAATTTCCTGGGTCAGAGAAGAGGGGGCAGAGATACGAGGGCCAAGATCGACCAGCATAACACCAGTGCAGGCATAAAGGTAAACCACATCTATATTTCACAGTTTTTCTGCCAAATAAACAAGAGGCGTTGTCCGTAGCCTACTAACACCATAATCACCTTATAAAGGCTGACTGATCTCAGTTCAGAAACAATGGGTTGCTAGGCAAGCCATCACAGGACACCATGTTCTACTCCTCCAAGTCAACTGATGTAGTGACATACAGTGTCACTACATTGGTGGAGTTGGTGGGGTAGAACATGGTGTCTTGTGCTGAGGAAAATGTCCATGGAGGAGAGCGGCCGAGACCGTTTTCCAAAAAATATGGTCTGTGTTTCTTTTCATAACCCTTTATAAGTGCCACAGATATATTGAGAAGAGGGTTACATTTGTATCCAAATGGCTGTAACATAATGTGTTCCATGCCAGGAAGGCTGACATTTAGTTTCATAGGTATGACTATTAATTCTTCAGAAAAAAAAGTTTAGAATTTGACCTCTTAAACGTGTTATGGTACGTATCTTTAAACTGCAGATTTTCCCAATCATTCTGCAACTCTTGTGCTTTACGTAATATCCTGCACATAATTTTAGCCACCCTGTAAATTGTTGTACAATTGGTGTATGAATCATGATCTAGGGCAGGTATATACTGATATTACACAATATGTTTTCTTCTTTCACTATACTTTTTGGAGTGTATATTAACTTATGACTAATTTGGAAGGAATGTTATATTAGCTCAAGAATTAATGGGGATCTTACAAGGTTAGAGTTAAAAAAAAACTCAGGACCTCTAAGAAGCCAAGAGTCTACTTGACTCTGATTGGCAGTGTAGTGTTCTACTTTAGAATGTTGGAATTTAAGTGCTTGATGTCACTTCTCATATATTTATATGGGCTTATGTATTATAATTTTGTTTTTATAGGCAGTGAAGAGCGGGTTAAAGACCACTTGTAAGTGTCATGGAGTGTCTGGCTCCTGCGCAGTTCGCACTTGTTGGAAACAGCTATCCCCCTTCCACGAGACAGGAGCATTGCTCAAGGCCAAGTATGAAAATGCGGTCCGAGTCCTAGGAGCCAGTAACGAGGCGGTGGGGGGTCACGAGTCCTTGGGACACGCATTTGCTGGCCGCTCACCTCGCTCCGGTGATCTTGTTTATCTGGAGGAGTCTCCCAGTTTCTGCCGGCCAAGTCGTTTTTCTCCAGGCACAGCAGGGAGAGTGTGTTCCCGGGAAACCACCTGTGACAGTATGTGCTGTGGCAGAGGGTACAATACGCAAACTCGGATGGTTACCTTTTCTTGCCACTGCCAAGTGCATTGGTGTTGTCATGTGGAGTGCCAAAAGTGTGTACAGCAACAAGACACATACACCTGCAAACCATGACAGTAACATTGTCTGACTGGAGGACATGGTGGCTTAACATCTACTAGCCTTAATGGGTGGTTGATGGACTCTGCATGGGACAACCACACTTCCAGTGTCTGGGGCCAACTTACATCAAGTTCCTGGTATAAAAGAAACCTGGAATGTGCCAAAGGAGTAACATACTTTGCCCACCTGAGCTTTGCCTGTCTATCTGCTGTAAAGCCACAAAGTACCTTAACTTATCACATATTGTAAATATATCAATGCTGTACAAACTCAGTAGAGAATGGGCTCACGGCTACAGGTCAATAACCCAAAGTCTCCATGTACAGTATGTATTCTGCGTAGGTCAATAGTTAAAGACACAGTTTTCAGTACTATTTAAGTAACAGCCATATGAGTATAAATCAAACAAAAATATATATGGTTTTGTAGTAGTCACCAGAGGGGAACCAACGCATTTTGCTCTCCTGGAATCCTATGACTGCACCACAAAACATCTTTCTCTTCTAATTAGCATGCAATGTCTGTTTTACCTTTAGTTTTGCTGTATAGTAGCTCTGATAATCTCTACCCTTGAAGAATCAGCTTAATATAGTAGTTGCATACAGACAAAGTAGACATTGTCTCTAGGAACAAACTACTATCTAGTTCAAGCATTTTCTATTTTTATTTTATTTCCATTTTTTTATTTTATTTTTTATTTTTACTCTGCTCAACAAATCTACCAGTTTCACAGTTTAGTTGCAATCAATATGTTTTTTTTTTTTAAATACATATTTAAATGTCAGTTATTTATAAGAAAGACTGAGGCTAGATCATTTTCATATGTGACCAAAGCATTGTCATACATTTTTTGTTTGCTGGAACACACAGTCTTACACACTCTGTGAAGACACGCAGTGGGGTCGAAAACGTTGGGTTAGAATATATTCATACTCACTTCAGGACGCTAAGTTTGCTACAAAACTATCTGATCTTAATTTTAATCCTGCCAATGGCAACATTTCCTTTGTACACCTTAACTACGCCAGATATTTTGCTCTCTAGCCATCTAAGGCTAGTTTGTACGCCCTACACTGAAGTAATGTATACTACACAACCCTCTAGTTCAGTAGATACTCACTGAAGGTTCACCTTGTCACTGAAAACTCTGACATAGGTAACAGGTATATCACTGCCAAAACACTGCAAGCCAAATGGATGAGAATGTTGGAATGGATGAGCTATGAAGATATGATTATTTTTTTATTGGTACAGTAAATAATATAATATTACTTCTTTTGGTAGGTACAGTACTTATACCACTTGATGACTTTCTTTGTATCTCTGAGAGTGAAGTTTGAACTATGTTACACGTAGGAGCATGTGGCAGGAGTCCAATGGCCGGGGTCACCGAACCTCCGAGAGCTCCTCCACTGCTCCCCCTTTTTTTTATTTAGAAAACTTCAAAATATTCATCACTACAGTAACATGGGCAATTGTAAGGAGCATAGGCACATGGGAGCAAGAGATGACAATGGCCAAATCAAACAAGCCCAGAAGTGAAGTTGATGGTGAATGATGTCAAGATGATGGGCAAATTTGGACATTCCGTGGTCGGACTTGAGAGGAGAACAGCTGTCTTCTAAATTCTTCCATACACAACAAGCCATAAAAGAACACTTATTTTTATCCAACAGACCATTGGGTCACATTAAGAATTTAATCAACCAACAACATTGGAATCTTTGAAATATTTATTTGAGAAAATTATGTTCTGTAAAGCTTTCTGACAATCCATGATTCTAAATGAATGCATATTAATGAATGTACAAAATAATGTTAATATTGCCAGAATTTTTTTCTGTTAAGTTATCTTATTTCTTCCACTTTGCTCCATCGGTAAGTTTTAGCCATATAGAATTCAAGGCACGCCATATGCAGAGTCAGATGTTTTTTGTATGATGCCCACGGCCACTTTTTTTTAGAGAGAAGACTTTTGTCCATATTCTCTATGCTTGTCTATGATCTCCCACCAACGCATTTCATTTATTTATTTTTTTACATTTTGTATTGTCTGGAGGATACTTGGACATCTGGGTCTGTGCATATGAGACTAGAAGCAGAAAGGGCAGTCTTGCTATTATCTGTAATTGAAAATAAAAAATCAAGAAGTCATATATTCTACCTCACGTGTACAGGATTTAGGAAAGATAAAAATCTATGGATATTTAAATTATTTAAAGTTGCAGTGTACCAATGCAAAGAACTAGGTATAGCCACTGTATTAAGCCACTTTGCGTCTGCTGTGTGCTTAGAGAGATGTATATAGTAATCTGTTCTACAGAATATATTTATATTTTGCCACTTTGTATATAAGAAGCACTGCACTTATACTCTGTTTATATACAGCTCAACTATAAAACAGCATTTTTTTTAAAAACAATATTGTTGTGTCTCATTCTTTTGCATGGAAACTGTATGGGGTACACACTATTTATTAAAGGATCAATCCCTTAAAAGTGTACAGGTGGGGGAGAGCAATTATCTATCATAGAGCAGTCCTGTGAAAATGTATAAAAGGGCGAGGGATAAACCATCTATCATAGAGATGATCCCATGGAAAGGTATGGGTGGGTGATGGTCAAACTTAGAGATGGTCCCAAGAAAGTGCATGGTAGTTGAGAAGATGAGGGACAACACATCTATTGTAGAAAGTGTATATCAATATATTTATTTTTAATATTAGAGTGCTCTTTAATGTTTTTTAGACTACTGAACCCCTTTGTAAAAAAAAAAAAAGAGTCAAAATAACCTTTAAAATAAACCTATCTGTATTCTAGCACTGGGATAGTCCCCTCTTTGCAACTCCTCCAGTGAAGTCACCAGTTATGATGATGTTTGTGCAATACAATGCTTCTTATTGAGAGGCACTGAGGTCATAGAGTGAATGTATGACAATCAACACGTTTCAACAATCTGATGCTCCTTGTAGAGGTGTAAGAGCGCTGTATAAGTTCTGCATTACTCTGCTGTGGCCAGTGTTTTACATTGACATATAAGAAGGGTACCATCATTACACTCTTGGATTTTGGTGGTCCGAGTGTCCTTTTTAAGGCCCTTTTAGGTCCAAACATGTTACACAAAGATAGATGTACATTATATACTAATAACCATAACTGAAAAAATTCTGGACATCTATGATAATAATTCATGATAATTCTGGAGATTTTCCAGTAGCCATCAACTACAGTCATCCAATTAAATTGTGGAGGGGTTTTGTGACTCATGCGTTAAATCGCCAGCACACCATACAATTTTAAGGACCCTATGGCACAATAAAGAGGTGTCCCATCATCAAGTGGCAATTCGTGGAAGCGCCCGTTCCGGAAGCATATTTTTTAAAGTATGCTAATTGCGTTGATAGCTGACCGCACTGAAAGTGTACCAGAGGTTACGTGGTTTAATAAATAGCTCGTATAGAAGAAGTATTCTTCTTTTATGGTGCTTTTTGTCCAATTATATTTCTCCCTCATTACTGAAACTTAAAATTCAATTTCCTGTCAGTGCGCAAAGAAAAGGAGCCTAGAGGGGTTTAGGATGAGAGTTTCCCAGGTTCAAAGAATTGTTAGTAAATATGTTAGTGTATAAAACATATGGTTCTAAACGCGAGTGTATTTATTTATGAGCGTGTGTATGTGTGTTTATAAGTATGGACGCAGAAGAGCGTGCGTCTACGTGTATGTGAGTGGACCTGAACCTGTATATGATGTTCGATTCCCCAGGCTGTAATTTGACAGTTCAGCAGATGTGGGGCGTTAGGATCACAGATCAGACAGAGAGGACAGAGGACCCCTTAGGGAACAGACAGACTAGACAGCAACATTTAGTAAAGGGGTTGAAAAAATCATAGGTAGAGAAAAAAAACAAAGGAAAAAATGTGAAACATAAGATTTTCTGTATTTCACAATTAAATAAAATTACATGTGAGACCCTGTCAGTTGTACTGCAAAGAAGCACTTGTCACAAAGATGGCTGACTTAGCACTGGAGGAATGAGGTAACCTGGTACATACCCTTATTTTATTTTCTGTCTTCGTATGATTAGGGTTTGTGGGGAGTTTTTTTTTTTGTTCTGTTCAACGAAGTCAAAAGTATTAGCTATCTTTACACATGAGATCCAGGAACTAAATAAATAATATAAGGGACGAGATATTTTGGATATAATTAGATACAAAGAAAGATATCGAAACCACGGGGAGGGGTGAAGGGAAACCATAAATGAAGTGGAGGAGATAAAATATAGATTTGGTCTGTGATTAACCAATATTGATACCCTTAACTAATGAGACTGTCACGCTGAAAACAAATGAACCCTGCGCTAATCATACATATAAACACATTAGAGCAATTTTCACATATGCTGAAACCCCCCACCAATGTAAGTAATCACACTGTTTTAGAATAATTTCAATTTTACCTGGGGTCAATCCGGCGCTGCTTCCCGTCTTCACTCTAGTCTAAAGGTAGCCAAACTGAACTAAGCCCAGCAGTGTCGGGCTTATTGGCTGGTAGAGATAAGAAGGAACGTCTGATTCTCCTGCAGCTGTAGTGGGGTTGGGAAGGAGCGCCCAGTGGACCCCAAAGAAGAAGTCAAACCATTGTTAAACTGTTTGATTACTTACAATGGGCGATCCCCCATTTATTCTTGGCCTCACAACCATGACGGCACTCTGTAATGGTTATAGTGTTTTTTCAGTGTTCCTTAAATAGAACGATCACAGAGGCAATGCAATGCAACAATAACCAGATAGCAACATGTAGCATAACATTTGTGCTAGGTTGCAAATTAGACATTATAGCTCATTGATGGCAAACCGTGGCACTGGACATATTGGGATAATACATTTCCATAAATAATTAGGAAAATTCTGGAGTATGAGGTAAGATATCACTGTGTCGGCTTCTAAGAATGAAGGGAGTTTAACCAGAAAACACAAGAACAGGCAACAATTTGCACGTGCGATATATGAAAGAAGAAAAATGGGGAAACATTTGCACGTCCCTTGCTCACTTCTAGACATCGTATCCTCTGGAGAAAATTATTCATTAACTTGGTAAATGTGACCTGTTTAAAATTGGATTGAGTAGGACTTCTGGGCTTTTGAACACACCTTTCAAAAAACAAATTATTAAAAAAAAAAAAAAAAAGCAAAACAATGCACTATAGTGGAAACAAATTCATTAGATTGAAAAAAAGGATGGCTATAACCATATATAAAGACAGTAAAATAAAATGGGTAAAAGCAGAGGAAGAACAAACCTATTAAGGTTCGAAGACAGGTAAAAATGTTAGGGGGAGAGCATGACAAAGAACTATGGGTAAGGGGGGAAAAATCAACTATGACGTCATGTTTATTTCCTCATCTCTTTAATAAGTGAAATGTTTTTTTAGCAAATTTCCAAATGTAGATTGACCCATTAACCCTTTTAAAGCTACACTACTGATCCCATTGTTGGAGAGAAGGGGGGTGATCTAGTGTCTGTTAGTTGTGATTCACGTGCCGGCGGATTCATTCCTTTCTCTGGGAATGGAATGTATGGCGGAACATTCCTACAGCTTCATCAAAATTCCGTGAGGATTATTAATGTCCCAGTGCAGGAAGGAGATCTGATCAGGATGTCACCTTCAGACCATTAGCTACAGTTACCGTAAAAAAAAGTGAGACGATTTCCAGCAGGAACCTTGCGCAATACGTCTACGACCAAATTACCGAAATGATCTTAAAGATTTGTTCAAATAGATTAAATAAGGTCATACTAGTATTTCTTTACTAAGTTTTATAACCAATACCTCTAACGTAGGATATGTATCATGTAAAACTGCTGCTAAACAGATTCCTAAACAGGGATGTGCAACCTTTGGCACTCCAGATGTTGTGGACTACATCCCCCATAATGCTCTTACACCCATATGACTGGCAAAGCATCATGGGAGGTGTAGTCCAAAACGTCTGGAGTGCCGAAGGTTCCCTATGTCTGTTCTATATCATACATGTAAAGTCTTGCAGGTACCTCACTAACTGCATCAGATGTCCCAGCACTGAAATGTAATTCTTATTAATAAACCACATACAATTCATATAGGAGCTCCTTCACACCATGTTATTGGAATATGTGTGCAGTGACGTAGCCAGAGTTACGGTCACCAGGGGCAGAATAAAATGTTGTGCCCCCACCATGTACCACCCCCCCAAAACCCATTCACCCTGTCCCTTAACTCTGTAAGAGTAATTCAACTCATGTAAAGCCTATAGTATTTGGAAACGAGCGTTACATTTTTTATGAATAAACACTCCTTAATGCAATAGAAAACAAAATAGTGACAAAATCAAACATTATTTGTGTTCATGAATGTAAGTATATCTTTGTGTGTGGTGTTGGCATTTGAATGCAGTTGTTTTTGTTTGATTGTATGTACTGTTGCTATTTGAAAGCAGTGGTGTACTTGTGTTTAGTGTTTGTGTTTGTACAGCGCTGCGGAATTTCTTGGCGCTATTTAAATAATAATAATGTGTTTGTATGTAGAGTTGGCATTTGATTGCTAGGACACTTGGTGGTGTACTTGTAGTCACTTCCTCCCAGCACTGCGGCTTCACGTAGACCAGGGGACGCGCATATGCTATTAAAGGGCCATGTCGCCTGACCATGCCCCGATAAGAGATACAGCGCAGCACCCCCCACCGCCCAATTTTTGTGCCTCAGGCAGCTGCACCATTGCCCCCCGGCAGTTACGGTACTGTATTATTAAATAATGACCTGACACACAATGCATTGATAATTACTACAGCTCTCTATACACACATACGCACACAAATTATACCCATATAGATACTGCCTACAGCAAATTTTATTAATCCAGAAAACAGCTTCCAATATTTCCTCCTATCCTCCAAATAGCCTCTCAATATAACTCCTCCTATTATTCCATATAACCTCTCAATATAACTCCTCCTATTACTCCATATAACCTCTCTCTATAACTCCTCCTATTACTCCATATACCTCTCCCTATAACTCCTCCTATTACTCCATATAACCTCTCCTATAACTCCTCCTATTACTCCATATAACCCTAACTCCTCCTATTACTCCATATAACCTCTCTATAACTCCTCCTATTACTCCATATAACCTCTCCCTATAACTCCTCCTATTACTCCATATAACCTCTCCCTATAACTCCTCCTATTACTCCATATAACCTCTCTCTATAACTCCTCCTATTAGACCATATAACCTTTCGCTATGACTCCTCCTATTACTTCATATAACCTCTCCCTATAACTCCTCCTATTACTCCATATAACCTCTCTCATAACTCCTCCTATTAGACCATATAACCTTTCGCTATAACTCCTCCTATTACTCCATATAACTCTCT